AACCCATTATGGCTAAATAGTCACATTTCTCATGACCTCCAATACCCGAAGTAGTTACCGTGAATACCAGAGCGGTGATGATCTAGCTATAAGGGGTTAAATTTTTTGCGCTAATGCATGAGAGAGATTTTACCATGTCTTATGGATCCAGGAGATAGACCGTGTGAGGGCTCAGCGAGGCGACACCCTCAGCGAGGCGCGGCACGGCTTGGCTCCCTACTGTCGTTGACTGTAGGCAATCTTTGCTGCCAAATATCGCCAAGCCTCGCTGCAGGGTATAGAACTTAGCATTTCTTGTCATTACCCGGATCGGTTGCAAGAGGTTTCACCGGAATTCCTGTTTCATCGGAGGTCCCGCCTTTAGATGCTTTGCACCGTACGGTACTAGCGCGTAACTAACTTTGTTTATGCATCCGAATAAGCCCCGAACCAGAGGCGAGTGATGCCAACAAATGGGCCATGGTATTTCCCGGAATTCGAGGTATTTCTTTTTCGATCCAATCTCACCAACGTGGATAGGGCCAATCAAAACTACTGGTCGCCTTACTTTTATCCTGACAAGCTATTTCTCTAGGGTGCCCTCAGCGTCCCACAATCCGCAACCCAACACATGTTCCATCGGCCTTCCACCATTCCGTTACCATAGCTATCCAAAGTAGCAACACGTTTAAAGACCGAACGAAATCAGGAACTGGATGAAAGGAAATAAACAGGCGCCCAAAAGCGATTATACAAATGATCCCGCCTCCCCTGCTGCGCCCTTTCTCAGGCAGTAAACTATCACGTCCCCCTTCCTCCGAGAGTCGTCATGGGCATGACTATTAAAGAATCGTTTACACTCCCCGTACTCTGTCTCTGGTCCTAGATAGCTCTTGATAGTATTTTCTAGCGCCCCAAAGAAAACCAGCCGATCTGGCCACTGATGGGTCGTTTCTTCTAACATGCGCTTCATTGGATTCCTGCCCGTTGAGGGGGGAGTTGGGAATTGGGTCTCTAGGAACTCCGCGGGTGAGGCATAGAAACGATCCGCCTCATCAAGATAGGATACTTTTTCCTCTGATGACAAACTATTTCAAGGTTAGTAGCTAACTCAAGCAAATAAATAAAAAGAGCGTATACCCTACTGGTGGCTCACATCCGAGCGCCCACATCTCGCCAACGCCCATCACTGAGCTTCTCCACCCTGTAGAATGGCAGGGCATCAAAAAGCCCACGCTGTTCCACTTTTCTGGGTTATCGGCATTGCCAGTTTTTCTCAACCAGTCCACAACGTCAACAACACCGCGCTGATGCACTTGAGTTGAATACCACGCAACAGGTATATTCAACAAAATCATCCCCATCAACACCCACTTCTTTGTAGAGGTTCTCCAACTAAGATTTTCGAATTTGGCAGCAGAAAGTACGTGCAAAATCGGGAGCAGTGGGTAGATGAAGCGGAACTCCTTGTGAGAGATCAAAGAATACACAGACGTCACCAAAACAACAGTGGAAGCTAGTTGAAATCCGGCTGCCGTTCCATTCTCCATTGGGGAGCGACCGAGAAACGAGCAAAGAGCGTACATAGCAATTGGCAGGAATGAAGTCAAAAGTAGTGGCAGCCCCTGGGACAAGTAATAGTGCCACGGGTTGCTCCCATAAAATACCGACAAGCTTTGAACTAGATTAAACTCGAGAAACTTCATTGGCGGGAAGGCCCAAACGCCATAGTACTGGTGGTCGGCAACGGCATTTAATACCAGCGCCGTAATTCTAGACACTTGTTAGAGCCAAGCGTTGGCAAGCTTTCTAACGGCCAAGAGTTAATTCGACCCAACTTACCCTACTGTTACAACCTCGGTGACAATACGCACCCTTTCCCGAGAGCTGCTATGATATATCAGGAACAATCCCAGACTCGACCAGATTAGGACATTAGTCGGTCTGAGGATGCATGCAAATGCTGCGAACAGTAGCGAAAGTTGAAGCTCCCTATAGATTATCAGCTGCAATTTTTGGGCCGGCTCTCATGCGATACCTACTTCCGGTCAATTTGCCCCTCGACAACAACGCTCTTTGCATTTGGTTTCTTTGTAATGAGCTGCGGCCAGGGCCAGTAGTACAACGCGATAGTAGTTATACTCGTCTCAAGACTGTTCGAGAACGTCCTGGTGGAGCAAAAGAAATGGAATGCACTGCCAACACTGAACCATAACTGAATTCCTACCCACAGCTTACATAAGCTTCTCCATTGCTGAAATACCGGGCAGAGTATAATACACGCACACTAGTCCATCCGGCAGCACCCCCAAATAGCTTCCCGGCAAGCTTCGCAGTAAAGTAATCGCCCAAAGCAGCAAAAACCGCTTGAAGGACCCTGGGCGCGACGACTAGAACTTCGGCCCTGGTTGAACTTTGCAACCGAACAAGGTTACTGATAAAGTCTAAGGACTTGTAGACCGCGGCGAAGAGTGCTGGGTGAGCGATTGACCTCAATCGGTTCTTCCATTCCTAAATCACCAATTAGAACCTCCGCCCCAGTGGCAAAAGGGGACATAATATACCCAAGTAAGCCAACCCTCGTCGAATACCATTTTCCATGCCGGTTCAAGCGACTGGAAGAATTCATCTGGCTGGAAGAAGGTCCGAATAGTAAGTGCGTTCAAGAGTCGGAACGAGAGAATGGTAAAGAAGATCAAGGAGGTAGACGAAAAGCGTAAGACCCGAGGGTCTGGGCTATTGGGAGACATGGCGGAGCAGGAGAGGTGTTGTATGTCCTTTTAGCCCAAAGCATAGGATGAAGTGGAATAAAGGGGAGGAAAGAGAGAGGGGGGGGCAACAGACCGATTGCTGGCCTTCATCTAACCTACCACCAGACCACCGGTGTTGCTGCTGGAGTAAAGGTGACCAGAGCGAACCCTGGAGCCTCAACGCTTGGCGAACATCCCTGCCATGGAAACATATCTGATATCATACTGTTCCGGGAGATTCGAAATGCTTTACGGTTGCAAATTTACCGTACAGTATTGCAAAGTGCCACTCCCGTCCCCCAGAATCTATGATAGTACCAAAATTGGTTGGGTATTATTACCCATTGCCAAAGTGGCTATAAAAATTCACTGAACTATCATACAATATCGGCGCCTAACAAATCCAGGCTTTCGGGCATCCATCTTCAATCCCTAGCAACATCCCGTAGAACCCGAACATGATAAAACGTCGAGGCAAAGCAAACTCTAAATAGAATGAACCATAACCCCCCGTTTTTTGACCTCTATCATATAACCTTCGCCTTGAGAATCCTACACCCATTAACTAAAATCCCCTCTTCCTCATCACTGGCGTGCTCGGCCGTTTAACAACCCCGGTCTGAGTGCCCATTCTTCTTTGTGTCACGATAGTCATTGGCCTCTTGGCCGATGCCGCGGCACGGGCGCTGGCTGCATCCTCCTCTGCTCTAGCCTTATCTTCTGCCATCTTCGCCTCAATCTCCATTCTTTTATTAATTTCGTTTTCCGTTGTTCTCCTCTCCCGAGCAGAATAGCCCTTCTCCTTGACGCTGTAAAAAACACCACCAAGCTCTGCAAGCCAGTGCGGATCCACCGCAGTCACGGTCGACATGTACTCCTTGCTTGTAAGTATTAGCTCATGGTAGACTATAGGACATTAGCCACTACATTTGCTTCAAAGCTGGTGGATTTCGGTTATTCACCAACATAATCCGGCAGATAGCCCAATCCATATAAACTGCTTGTCGGATGCAGCTGCACAGTGACACTAGTTCTCAGATTTGTGTACTCTCCGATACCCTTGACCTTAGCTGCTTGGTGGTAATATCCAGAGCAAATGCACTTCCTGATGATATCCCAATCGGTCCCGCAACTTTTCAACTCCATCTTTTGAAACTTCATTATGTCCATTAATTGGTTCCGAATTTCCTTTGCCCTTCTTAGCGCTTTTGGCTGCAAGAAATGCTGAATACACCATCGATCAGAGTAGCCGTTTGACTTCCATTGAGTGTATACGTGCAATAGTGTCAAATGATCGGACTCCGCGACAAAGAACTTTTCTCTCGCTTGGTCGGATTCCTCTTGTCGCTCCTTCGGGCGGTAGAACACGCTTGGCACAGAGAGCATGGAGACAATGGTCAACATTTCCTCGCCACAGTTGTAGTCTCCAGACATAATGATAAGCTTTGATAAGGAGGGGTCCATTGGGAAGCTAGCCATCGTCTTCCCAAGAGAGGTAAGTTCACCAACATTATTCAAGGCTCCTAACGCCCAGAGGTCGAATAAACTCGTTGTCATTGTATCCTGGGGCGGGGGATCCATAAAATCGAACTCCAACAAGTCCTTAACTCCCAAACTCTTCAGCATAAGGACTGTGTTGCTGAGGTTTGTGCGCTGTATCTCGGGAATCGTCTGAAGATACATCTCGTTTCGAAAGGCCTGTTCGGTATACAATCGATAGGCCTTTCCCGGTCCAGTACGGCCAGCTCTCCCGGATCGCTGTGAAGCATTGGCCTGGGAGATCGGAGTGATCTGTAATGCATCCATACCCATCCGTGGATTGTATACCTTTAGCTTGGAATATCCGGCATCAACAACGAACATAATACCCTCGACCGTCAAGCTAGTCTCAGCGATATTTGTAGCTACGATTACTTTTCTCGCTCCGCCCTCTCCACGCTCGAATATTTTGGCTTGTAAATCTGCCGGCATCTGTGAATAAATAGGAAGAATATTCAACTTCGGAGGGTTATTCAGCTGCTTGAGTCGCTCAGCGATTACTTCGCAGGTAATCTCGATATCCTCCTGCCCGGTCATGAAGACAAGGATATCGCCTGCTCCTTGACCAATGTGGATTTGCAACACCTGTTTGACAGCAGCGTCGACATAGTCTTCGCAGGGGGATTTCGACCAAAGCACATCCACGGGAAATGTGCGTCCGGGGATGATATACTCCGGCGCACCACCATAAAACCGAGAGAACCGTTCAGCATTCATGGTTGCAGAGGTAACAATCAGTTTCAAATCCCTGCGACGCGCAAGGATTTTCTTGATCAACCCCATAAGCACGTCGGTGTTTAGCGCACGCTCGTGTGCTTCGTCCATAATGATGCATGAGTACTTGTCCAGATTTGGGTCAACTAAGCTCTCACGGAGGAGAACACCGTCCGTCATATCTATAATCTCCACGTTAGCAGATTGACAATATTAGCATACGGTTCCTAAACCTACATTTGATAATTGTTTCATCGCTTGTACAATCCTCAAAACGAATAGCATATCCAACTAAACCGCCCAATCTCACTTCCATCTCCTCACTCACGCGTTTAGCTACGCTCATCGCCGCTACCCTTCGAGGCTGTGTGCATCCTATCATCCCAATCTTTCCATATCCATCCTCATACAGGAATTGAGTCAATTGGGTTGTCTTCCCTGAACCAGTTTCTCCAACTACAACCACTACCTGGTTATCCCGGATAACCCGTAAGACATCCTCCCGAACAGCAAAAGCAGGCAAAAATTCTCTCTGCTCTCTTAACGTCCTGCTCTTCGTGAACTCGCTATTCCCTTCGCTTGGCCTTTGCTTGTTCATGTGTTCGGCAAACTTCGACCCACCTGTTTCCTCCTTCCCACCGCCAGTGGGCGCCGCACTGTCCCCATCGTCATCCTCCTTTATCCCCAGCACGTTGCCCAGTGCTGTGCCAGCAATATTCGTAGCTTCCTGTGCTTGTTTCTCTCTCTCCCTTCGTTGCCTCCTTTCCTTGACCAACAAACTTCCCTTCTTGCTGAATATCGCCATATCGCTCTGGGGATCTCTAATCGCAGGCACAGGATCAAGTTGCTTTGTGAATACCTTCCGTCCATCTAAGAAAGGTGGCTTTAAATCATGGACGAGTAGGTGAACCCGAACTTCCTCCTCATCATCAAGGTCATCGTCATTATAATCGGCCCTTTGGGCGACTCCAGACGTGAGCATTCGATTGGTCTCCCATGCATCAACATCCTTCATCTTCTGTTGTGCCCGGGCAGACATGCGTTTTCCTTGCTTTTTCTCAAGAAGGACCTGCTCACGCTGCTGGTCTGCCCAAGAATTATCGGCCGATCCAAATGGGTTGTGATATTCGTCTCCAAAAGCGTGTCCGAGTTCATCAGACGCATACCAATCTCGATCAAGAGCTGAGTCATCTTCCTCATTTATAACAGGGACATCGTCGGGGTCGCGGTCAATAGTACCGGGCATACGAGGAGTGGCACTTCCAAACCTCGACGAGCGTGATGTCGAAGGACGGGCGTTTGCATACCGTTCCGTGTTCCGTATATCCACGTTTCGTAAAGGCGTCGGGTCTTGTCTGCGGAGATTCTGAGGTGTATACCTAGAGTTATCACGGTAATCTCTCGGGTCTTTCGGATAGGGATCTCGCGAATACCCTCTCCTGCCACCGTCCCTGTCGTCTCTCCCACCCTCGCCGCCACGCCTTGCACGATGAGCGTTCAGTCTTTCCCGAGCTTCCTGCGAAAGGCCCGGGCCATGGGACGGTGTCTCTATCCGCCGTTCTCGGATGTGTCGTCCCCCAATCGGTAGAGCGGGCTTCTTGAACTCAATCTTCTCATCTTCATCCTTCTCTTTTGAATCGCCATCGGGTTCTCCATCTGCAGCTAAATCCAGCTTGATTCTTTTCGCGAGCCTATCCAATCCCAGCCGAGATCCCTTCTTCCCACCCTCCTCTCCATTGCGTCCGCCCCTGTCCCCCTTCTGTGCAAGCAGCAAACCCCCCGGCAAATTGTTACCCGTGTCCGTAGCTCTCTCTGGTGCACCGAATGTCGAGGATTCGCCAAGGCCGGATTTTCCATGAACTTGATCATACCTATCCCTTGTTTTGACCTCCTCAAATATTTCAGTCAAGAGATCGTCAGGATAGCGACCGAGCCCCTTACAAGCCAAAATAAAGGTTTTGGGGCCAGGTTGATCGCGAGCTATCTTGACAATGTTCCGCGCAAGGTAGTCATTAACGGTTTGAGAGTTCTGCCGACGAGAGATCTGAATGGCGACATGGTGAGTGTATTTGTCGTTCAAACCCGGGGGTATATCATCGGCCATGACGGAGGTCGTAACGGCTGCAGCTCCTTCTTGCGAATGTTTGCCGCCCCTTTCGATCCACTTTCTTCTAGGGGGTATGCCTAAATTGAGTGCGAAATGGGGTGGAACTCTTGAGTGGTGCAGGACGAGATGATTGCAAAAGGCAAGAGTTATAGGTGCCACACAGAGCAAGGCATAAGGCCCGAGCAATCCTCAGTCCAAAGCTCGGACAGAGCCTCCAAGCCACAGAGCCGTTCCACCCACAGTTGCCGCCATCAGAGTTCCCGAATTTTGAGGCGAGCTGCCAAGGCCTGACCTAATTTGAGAATCTGATTAGATCCCTGTAATCTCCCCATCTGATTAAGGATTAGCGTTAAATGGATCGATACGGTACCGTAGCTGCCAGCCAACGTCAGCAAGCCAAAAATTCCTGACATGCGTTCCGCAAAGCAAACAAGCCGAACGATTGGTTGAGGAGTGTCCTCAGACTACCACTGGTCCAAGTGTTTGGCTTCGCTGTTCCTTCCCGAGAGCCTTGCCTCCCCCTCCTCCTCCTCCTCCTACCTCGCTCCCCCTCCCCCAACTACATACCTCTACCTCACACTCCCCCCCTCCAACAATCCCTTTCCCTTTCCCTCTCCCTCTCTCTCTCCCTTTCCCTCCCCCCCTCCCCTACCCCTCCTCCCTTCTCTCACTTAAACCCTTTTCACCTCTTAAACCTCCACTCGCTTCCCCGTATCGCTGTGTTCTTGTCACTCGCTGGAATCAGCTTCCTCCTCTCCCCCTAATATTTGCTAGCTTCACATTTTTATTTTTATTTTTCTCAAAAAGAAAAAAGAAAAAGCCCCCCAGTCAATCTATCCCGTCATTCGCCATGTCGGTAGCAAATTACCCGTTCCGTGATATCAACATCATAGCGTCTGCTTCCCATTACACGTTTCGCTCTCCATCTTCTCCCAATGCGCCAGCCCTTGTTGTCGCTAGGCCTTCGGGTGCTATGCAAATGACCCACTCCCCGAATACCATGGGTGGGAAGAGGGTCACTAGTATTGCTGGAATCCTGGGAATTGTCCATTTACGTCTTGGTAGGATATTTTTCACTAGTTTCTTTCTGTAGATGGACCTTCATTTTCACAAGACTCCGCGGTTGAGTTGAGCTCATTAGAATTTTGATGTGCTGTTAGATAAATACATCGTTACCATTACCAAAGCTGTTCCAGTGGGGCGCATACGTGGCCAGGCCGTCTACAAGATCGAATCGACCGAGTTCCTACCATTGCAGGAGAGAGTTTTACACGTATGACCTACCCTCCCCGTGCCCAATTACTGATAACTCTCCAGCTTTCAGGCCTACCGTTGCAAACTTGGTTGGGGTTCCCGGCTGACCGACCCGACAACTCGACAATTAGGACCCCGATGAGGATACTTATCTCGAGTTGCTTACAACTCATCTCCGCACCGGTCCGATATACTTTTCTTACTCCTTCGACTTGACCAATAGCCTTCAGCGACAGTCGAACGCAGATCCCTCACTCCCACTTTGGCAAAGGGTATGTCCTTGCGGATCGTCCGCAATTCATCCATGACATACCCGTATTGAGACTGACCGGGCAATGCCTAGGCCGACGACCGATTCTTCTGGAACAAACATCTGCAATCTGATCTTATCAGTCTGCGTAACTCTTACCAAGCCGTAGATCCCTATATTCTTCCCGTCTTCTTCGGATACCTTAACATCACAACCACAGCCATCAAGTCCACGTCCCTGACCTTCGTTCTTATCACGAGAAGGTCTCGCCATAGGGCAGGGACTCGGTACTTTACCCGTGGAGTGGACGAGTCGGGCAATGTAGCAAATTTCAACGAGACGGAGCAGGCCATCGTCATCGGCGACTCTACTGGTGGGTTGGCCGGTTACGATTCAAGCTCCGTCTCATCTGGGAGTGAGCAACAGGTGCAGGTTTTCAGTTATGTTCAGACACGAGGCAGCGTCCCTGTATACTGGTCGGAGGTTATCAATCTTCGCCGGGTTCCGGAGTTGAAAGTGAGGTCTGTTGACCTAGCCTTGAACGCCGCAAAAAGACACTTTGATGAGCAGATCAAATTGTACGGCGATAATTATCTGATCAACCTTGTCAACCAGTCCGGAAGGGAGGAATTGGTGAAGGCGGCGTACGAGAATGCTGTCAAGGAGCTAGTATCCTCACCCACAGAGTCAAAGGAGGGCTCTGAGCTGACACCGGAGCGCTTTCATACCATCGAACCCACCAGGGCAAATAAGTTGATGGATCGTTTACACTATATCTACTTTGACTTTCACCACGAATGCCGAGGGATGAAATGGCACAAGGCTCAGGCGCTCTTGGATAACCTAGGTGACGGATTATACGACCAAGGCTATTACCACTCGGTTGAGGGAAACGCAATAACATCGAACTCTATAATAATGAAGCGCCAAAGTAGCGTTATGCGGACCAACTGCATGGATTGTCTCGATAGGACCAACGTGGTCCAAAGCATGCTTGCCAGGTGGACGCTCAATCGCCAGTTAATGGATGTCGGTATTCTAGATAAGGGAGAGAACACGGCCGATTTTGAGAATTTCGAGGTAATGTTTAGGAATGGTAAGCACAACCGGCCGTTTCACCCTAATCACAAGAAGCAAGCTAACACCCTTCAGCATGGGCGGACAACGCCGATGTAGTAAGCCGTGCCTATTCAGGCACCGGAGCTCTCAAGACTGACCTTACCCGAACGGGAAACCGTACTAATGCTGGGGCTCTCGCCGATGGCGTGAATTCCCTCACCCGATACATCTACAACAACTTTGCAGATGGTCCTCGACAAGACGCCTATGACCTTTTCCTTGGCAACTACACGCCTTCGACTTCCCCGTCTTCTCTCCTCTTTGTCGACCGTCGCCCGATCATAATACAAAGTGTGCCCTATATTCTTATGGGGGCACTCTTTCTTAACTTTGCCACTCTATTCTTTCCTGACCTCAATGCTTCCCCTCGCCCAGCTCCTGCAACCTCTGGAGATGGAAATGTGGATATCACTAGCAAGTCCGGTGCCCGTTTCAGCACTAAACTTCTTCTATTCTCGTGGACCGTGATTGCTGGCCTGGCTGCACTATTCATGTTTAAATATGCCTTACTATACGTCAACTGGCCTAAGCTCTCGCCTCCGGGATTTGCCATCGAGGGCTACAACGATGCGTTAAATCGGGCGAAGAAGGACCCGTTGTTTGGTAAATGGATTGGCAAACAAAGCGGGCACGAGAGGGGCACAAGTAGCATTAGACTTGTGCACTTGGAGGAAGGGAAAAAGAGGATTGAATAGTGTCGTTGCCACGTTGTCAAGTTAAGGGGATACCCGGGGATATTAGCCAGATGCTTTCTTTTTCTTCTCCCTTTTCTTCCCCTTTCTTTCTCATACTTCATTTCATTTCAAGGCTGCATATTAGTACTATCTTGTACCCGAAGGTTCACAGGGTGGGCTGCGAGGGGTTTGAAATCTCAATGATGTTTCCTTTCTTTGATGGTTCTGGAAGCCTTTCCTTTCGCGGGGTGACGGGCCAGGAATAAAACATGTTTCTTGAGGTTGAACTGTATGTGCAAGGTTACCTTTCCCAGGCTATAATCTATAGCCTATCGTGAGACCTAAGGTCCCAGGGAACTATCACATACTCACTGCGAGTGATATGATGTGATGACGGCGTAGGGTTGGAATCGCTACACGCGATGCACTGGGCTACAAAAGCCTGAGCCAGGGCTCATAACCGGCGCCGCAGTTACAAGGTCTTATGTCACGATTTTTACATCATCATAAAAATAATGTAATTATGATACCTCATACCATAATTCACACCGCGTCACAACAGTTGCCATGGAATAACATGGTGAGACGTACTATAATAGCTGTCTGTCCCCCGAATCCCCCTGATGGCTGCGTTTTCATCGCAAATCCAAAATTGGAATAGAATTCGGACAGCAATACGGCCATGATATTACGAGTAGATTTCTGCGTGCTATGATACCTGGTATCAGACTTTCTAAGAAACTAAGCCGGTAAGCATGGCTTAGAGCCCTGATCCGCACTAGCTAGTGGACATGATGGCCATTGCTATAGCTCTCCAAAGCGGTGACCAAAAACAAGAGCTCTGCTTAATTTTCCCGGTCAATCCGACTTCCAGAGGCAGCCTAGCCAGGAATATCACGGAGGCCCGGAGCAAACCGCATTCTCCCACCCCTAGATTGTGAAAAGCAACAGAGTTTCTCCGGACGCCCAAACCCCGTAACCACGAACACAACGAGGGCCCCAAATCACAGACATTTGGTGAGATATACAGTATGGATGTTTGGGGCGGGGGTGGAGTTTGGTCCGAGATCGCCCGAGCGATGGCGAGTGGTGTGTGTACGAGATATCGGACAGCATGTGACTAGTAGTATTGGAGCTCCATCCAAGCAAGTTCAATGGAAAGCAAATATTGAGAGTCTTTCAAGAGCTCGGGCCACCCGCAGAGATCGTCCCTCCTTTCCCTCTGATTGGTCGCAAGGGCCCAGCAGATCCAACACGGGCTCTCGAGTGACAACCGGTGACACCCTAAACTAGCCTAGCTCGGTTGCGCCCAGGGATCGTACTCGTATGATACTGATTGCGAAAACAAACCAAGGCCTCTCTGTAAACACTTCCACCGCACAACCGTCCACCACCAAAACACCGCCCTCGGGCCCCAAGTCCTCACTCCAATGCTTTACTCTACAAAACGCAAGCTCCACAACTTGATAAACGGCCCACTAGCACCACCAGCAAGTGTATCGGCGCCCAACACACCGGCAAAACAATCCACGGACCTCCCCACCACCACCACTGCTGCCGCCTTCGACGACAACGATGTCGTCCTCATTGCACCAACGTCAGACGACGCAACGAAGAAACGCCGCTTGGGCGGTTTAGGGAACCGCTCAAGACCAAGCGTCCGCGCCGTCTCACCAACCGGATCGGTCCGCTCGACGGTTTCCACGACTTCATCTCAACAGATGCCGACCTACTCGCCATGGGACCGGAATGCATTCTTGGAGAGGTTGAGGACGTACAGATTTGTGGATAAGTGGAGTGCTAAACCGGCGGAAGTTAATGAGGTTGAGTGGGCGAGGAGAGGGTGGAGCTGTGTTGATAAGAATAGGGTCCGGTGTGGGGTTTGTAAGAGGGGGGTGGTTGTTAAGGTTGAGTTGGATGAAGAGCAGGATTCGGATATTAGTGAGTATTATTTAACAATCCCAAGCTTTATGGGGGGAGACTGATTGGGGTGTAGCTAAAGCGGTGGTGGAAAAGTACAAGGAGATGATTGTCACGGAGCATGAAGGGCAGTGTCTTTGGAAGAAGCGTGGCTGTGATGGTAGGTCGCTCCTTTCCGCCCCATTCCTTTTATTCCAATATTCCCTGAGAGCGGAAATTGATGCGGGTAACCTAGATACTATCTACCGTCTTCAGCTCGCGAATCCTTCCGTTTCCCGCCCTTCGTTCATATCCCGTTACTCTTCCCTCCTACGTATCCGGCCGGAAATCCCCCCGTCGCTCAGCTACCCGATTGCCGACCTTCCTGAGCACATCCTTGAAGCCATTCATGAGAACACGCTCCCGGTGGAAGAGCAGCACTCCGGAGGCCTTATCCTCGCCCTGTTTGGCTGGCAGAACGAAGATCCCGGGATCCCTAGTCTCGTTACGTGCTCAGCATGCTTCAGGCGATTAGGCCTGTGGCTATTCAGGAAGAAGGCCGTTTCCATCTTCGACTCAGTTGATGAAGAGGAGGAAGCGAGTGTTTGCAGATTGGACGTTATTGGAGAGCATCGTGATGTGCCTTGCCCTCCTGTCTCTGTTGTAGCGCATGTGCTAACAGGTTCCAGTACTGCCCTTGGATAAACGCCACAAACCAAGGCACGGAACCCGGCTGGCAGATCATGCTCCGCATCCTCCAACAGCCAAACAAAGGCCCGGCACTCGGCTCATATAGCACCCAATCCTCACCACCCGGGGACCTAGAGCACCCCGTAACCCCAGCAGAAAGAGACGCGGAAGATGAATCGAGGTTGAAGAGACTGAGAAAGCTCGGTGCAATGTACCTCGGCACCGTCAAGAAGACCAAAGGCAAAGGCAAGGAAAACAAGGAACGCCCAAAGACGCCAAAAACCCCCAAGACCCCGACTAAAGAGGCGCCACTGTCGAAGACTCCCAAGACTCCCAAGACTCCCAACAGAGATGCGCCCAAGACCCCGAGTAGGGACCCGCAGAAGACTCCCAAGACGTCGGGCCGGGAGGAGTGAGTAGGTGAATTCGAGTCAGCATTGGATGGAAGGAAGGAGTTGTCATTAATTGGCGTTGTGCGGTTGTTGTAATAAGGGTTTTTGGTTCCCCTGCTTCATTATTACTTGCTTGCTTTCTATCTTTTCTTCTCTCGCTCTTCATTTTCTCATCATAGTCCCTTTTGATGACAGACACAGTGTAGTTTTTAAACCGAATTTTTTTTTTCCCCCGTGTTCATGAGGCTTAATATGCTTTTCTATCGACAAGTCAGGCTTTGTCACGATCCCATGATCTGTTATAAACATCTTTTAGCCATGTAACTTACGAATTAGTCCCTTCGGTACTTGTCCCTATCGTACAAGTGTCATGAGATGAAAAAGGTTTACATCGAAGGGGGCATTCTGTGTTTAATCGGCATGATACAGTATGGTGCAATCACATTGTACTATGCAGGAATATCACCCATCGCATTCCTTTCTTTCAGGTCGCAAGCATCAACATCTTACAAGCTGTTATACGAATTGATATCTCTCTCTCTTTTTCAAATCTATAACCCAACCTGGTAAGTACGTAAAGTACAGCACCACACAATACTGTAATAATTTCATGCCCCCTTCTGCAGCCCTCTCCCCCCTCCCCCAATTTGGACACTCTACTGTAGAAAAAAAAAATGTCAACTCCTACCAAGGTGTAATTTATTAGGGCGGTAGTGAACATCATAAGACGCCCATCACCGATTCTAACGCCTACCGTACCTATCACGCACCTTTTCCTCCTACCGTGGGAACGGCATCAATAGGGAAAACAAATGGGTTTCGCTGCCAGTGTGATGACATACAAGTTAACATTGTCCCCGCCGCCCCCCGTATTTCATCCGCTCGGTGCACGAGAAATCACTCGGACTATCACCGCCCTTAATTTTCCGCCGTTTTTGCATTCAGTTCAGCGGGGTCCCGACGTTGCCCACTCCCCCCCCCCCGGGGAACCATTTCTACCCTTAACACCTTTCATGCTGCGGTCGTCCTGTAAAATGAAGAAGGAAGGAAAAGGTATAATTTAGTGTATCTATTGGAAACAATAGTCACGAGTGCTCCCAGATCCGGATGAATATGTTTAAAATGTACAATTCGCTTATCCTGTACGAGTACGGTTGCATACAAGAGTGAATATGACTCGTGTTTGCAATTGTGTATGCATGACTCATAGACATCCCCTTGGATGGGTGGCTGCGCATGTGACTGGACTTGGGTATGTATGGAGGGAGTTTATTTCCTAAGTTATCTCTTATCATAATTTGATAGTACAAGCAGGGAATTTTATCCTACAGTCTAAAATTATACAGGTATTGCGTTCAACTCTCACTGCCAACTTTATATCTAAAATAAGCGTTAGAGTACCAACACAGGTATTTTCATAATAGAGAACAGTAGTCGCACGCACGCACGCTGCGGTATAAATTTAATGGAAAATGAAAAAAAAAATCTAATGAAAGGGACTAAAAGGGGAGAGCGGGAAATAGAATACGGTAAGAATATACAAGCAATGTTCCCACCTCCACGTAAATTTCCTGAAGAAGAAGAAAAGAGGAAAGGATAGAAGAAAGGGCTATCAATTCATCTAAGGAAAGAAAGGAGAAAAGAAAGGAAATTCTAGTGTAGCGGTATGAGCCCAACCCTGGGTATCGATCAAGTGGGCAAAGGGTGGAGTGAATGAAAGAAGGAAAAAGCTCTTTATATCACTCGGGAAAGACAAAGGGAAACAAAAAAACTCCCAAGATGAAAAAAGGCAGAACGAAACACCAGCATCATAGGATATATATACAACCGAGCCATCCCCACATCTCTATCTACCGCATCCTCGACATCCGGAACGCAATCTCAGACTCGATCCTTGATTCCAGATACCGCAAATTCGTGGTGGCCCCCCAAGTATTCGGGTACGCCCTCCGTAGCGCCTCAATCCTCTCCTCGGCCTCCTGGCTGCCATTCAGCATTGCGTTGTCCAGATCCTTGAGCGCAGCGGCCAACGCATCAAAAGTTCTGGAAAATGGATACACGGACGGAATATCTAACGCGGACATCCGTTTCCTCCGCGCGATCCACCCGGGCATCAACTTTGTCTCAAATATCTCCATTGCGAGGTCCAGATCTCGGCAGAGGACGGCGGCTTGGGCAAAGTTGTTCCAGTTGACGTTGTCGAGTTGGTAGCCCGCTTTTTCTAAGTCTGCGACGGTCTTGACGAGGGTTTCCAGCTCGTTGGCGTGGGCCAATGACTGTGTCAGGATGCTGAGGGGCTGGCAGAGGAGGTGCCGTCGGGACCAGAGGACTTCGCGCTGAAAGGGGTTGCTGTCAGACGGTCGGGCGAGTTTGCCTGCGAGGTGGCGAACCTGTTCCCAGATCATCTTTACGGCTTCAGTGTTTCGGGCTTTCATGTGGGCGTTCATTATGGCTATGTAGAGCTTAATCGAAGGGATTGTTCCGCCAGGTTTCTGGGCTTCAGAGATTTCCAGGAAGCGGCGATAGACTTCCTCGGAGCGAGGATAGGAACCTTCTTTTCCGTAGATTGAGACTAAGGGTGCGAAAAGCCAAGGGGGTGTAGCGGATTTGACGATGTCCCTGGATGTGAGGTCTAGGACGTCTAGGTTCTCCGTAACCTGTGCTAAGATACCTTCCGCCGAATTAAGGAAGAGCGCACCACCGGAAGAGCGCCATTTGGCGTGCTCTGCAAAGGCAGATGCTTGCAGGAGGACAGATTGCGTGGTGAAAGTTGGATTGATGCCATTGCCCACCATCTTGTTGAACGCTGCCCACACCTGCGCTAAGTCTATATTCTTCATGTGAGCTATCATGATGATAGCATAGTGTATGGAATTGGGCTTGATCCCTTCGGCCTCAAGAGAGTCGAGAACCTTCTCGGCTGCCTCAACTTTCCCAATAAGACACAAAGCGTGCATCAGGGTGGCATATGTGTACTGATCAAAAGGTACCTTGGCTTCCCGCATCCTGTGGTAAGTCTTGGTTAGCTTTTCTGGATCACACAGGACAGCATAGCCACTGAGAAGCTCATTCCAGAGGGCGGTAGTGTCCTTTCGAGGTTCTGCCTGCGCGAGCGACCCCAATATATCTTCGGCACCCTCAAGATCACTAATGGCGATACGCGACGTCATCAGCGCAAGGTACATGGGTTCAGTTGGTTCAGCCCCCGAGTCCATGGCCAGGTCAAAGTATTTTTGGGTATTCTCAGCGTCTCCACGGTTAGCGGCCAACGCCATCAACGTTGCATAGGTATATGCGTCTGGAGCAAGCCCGGCCCCGACCATCTCTTGCACTCGCCGGAGGGCCCCATCAACATCTTGGGCTTTTGCATAGGCATTGATAAGAATGTTAAACGAGTAGTTGTCCGGAACGAACCCAAACTTCGGGATCGCATCAAAGCACTTGACAACCTCCTCAAGCTCCCCTCGCCGAGCATGTGCAAACATTAAAGAATTGAATGGCAGGAGTTCTTCGGGGTTGAATCTCTCCAGAAACCCATCTAGCAATTCCCTGACCACCCCCGCCTCTCCGTGGCGTGCCATTTCAGCCATGAGTAAATAGTAGGCCTGCTTGTTCGGTTGGGACCCTGCAGTGAACCAATCGTCAAAGACCATCTGCATGCCCCGGAAATCAAGCAGATTTCTAAAAGCTCTCAGCGCGCCGTTGAAGAGACGCGAGTTTGGCTTGATCACCGGGATCTCGCGGTATTCAAGATATATTTTGGCGGCGTCTGCGTCCCGTTTCTCACGATAAAGCTGAATTAGAGCGAGAGTGTAAGCTTCTTGGTTGCTGGTAAATAGTCCACACGACCGCCCCGATCCCCAGACCTTCCAAAACTTCTCGGATTGCATGGAACTAAAAAAAACCTGAAGAAGTCCGACCATTAATTCCTGAGCAAGGCGCTCACCATCAGAGCCTTTGGCTTTTTCGGCAAATTTCATTATCGGGCCTTCCTCGATATTGCCCATACACTGCAAGACCGTAGCCATTTCGAGTCTCGATTCATCACTCGATGCCTCGTCGTTGAGCTTCAGAGTCTCTATGGCAGCATCCCATATATTCTCCCGGAGGCAATAAATCATAACCTCCGCGAATCCGACAGGAGGCCTATGATAGTGCTCCATCTGATCGCGTAGGAGCGCTATCGCATCGCGGGGATATCCCATTTCCAATAGGGATTTCAAAGCAATGTGGTAATCCGCCTTAGTTCTCTCCTCGTACGACAAATCCAGAAGAACGGCAACAATCCGCTCCTTGTTGATAACCCGTCCCGACTTACTCAAGTAATTCACAAGCCAGGTTCGGCGGTCAGTCCGCCGTGATCGAGCGCCGTCCTTCCTTTCGATGGAATAATGATACCATGCCGAGTCGTAACCCCCCTCCGAGCGGTCCCTCAACTCGGAGAAGCTTGAAAAATGCGGATCTACAGGTAATGCCTCTTTCAGCATATCACTCAAGCGCAAAAGGCAACTATTCTGATTTCCATTCCTATTGCCACCAGAGCCATTCCCGCCGGAGGACTTCGAACTAAAAAGCCTCTTACAACTTTGCGGGAGCATCGTGCGTAAAGCCAAAAACTCACGCTCATCCCGTGCCGAAGGCAGTGCGAGGTGCCGCAAAAAAGCGAGGGTCTTTGAAGGGTATAGAAAATCCAATTGAATATCTGCCGGGAGTCTTGCGTCCTTGGTTCCCCCGGTATCCTGCCTTTTCGTCCCTGATCCTCCATTTCCCCCAAACTCTCCCTCTCCCTCTCCCCCGGAATCCACCTCAACACCACCGAAACCAAAGCCAAACGTATTGGCAGGACCGATTCCCAGTTCCCCTGCACCATGAACCCAGAATGCTGAGTGTAGCGTTCTTCTTTTTAACCTTCCGCGTAGGAAACGCCATCCACCACTTTCAAGGCGCAGTGCGACTCGTTCAAGCATACCCCCCGAATGCCTCAATTGGTAACCGTAACCGCGACCGCAAGGAGAATTCGGAGGAGGATTCTAGTCCAGAGTTTAGTGTTAGTAAATAACGAATAAAAGATCTGTTGCCCGTATCCGAAATTTTGTCCCGCCTCGGCATCCGGATGAGTAGTTTTCAGGCATAAAACCCTCAACAGAAGTACGATAACATATAACTAACCTTTAGACATGCCCTCAAGGCATAAACACAAGAGCTTGTGAATACAAAAAACCCAACTCAGCGATGCCTCTGGGGCGGAGAGCTCAATTGCTAAAGATGATTGCGGATTTTCGTCACTAAAAGAGAGGATGGGCGAAAGAAGATTGAACCGACCCATTGTCCGATAAATTCTAGGAGCTTGGCACATTGCTGACCAATCACTCAGCGGCTTAAAAAGAGAAAAAAAGAGAGAAAAAGCATCTGAAATCTGGGTCCACCGCATCGCTGCGGGATCGAAATACGGTACTCGAGTACCAGTACTGTACATACAGTGGGTTAACTGGCCAAGTTACAAGTACCATACTGGACTGCAACACCTCTGCACAAGCAAGTACTGTACTCGTATAGTGTATTTATCATTACAGTAAGTGGTCATCACGAGAATCATGAGTTTTCGTTCAAATCTCCGGAAACCTATCTACACTAACACGACAGATACAGCACTCACTCGAGCACAGTTCATCACCCAGGTGACAGCCGCAGTGCGTAAGTATCGTTGCGATTGCTTGAGCAAAGTATCATACTCGAATATTCAAGTAGAAACAGAAAAGCAGGGGGGAAAGCCCAAGTCACTACCAAACAAAAATTGTATCCATGATTCTCCCCGATGAGATAAACGCCCCTTCATGAACGCCATGCCAATAAATCACTTTTGAATCGCCCCCGAGAAAAACCCCCAACAGACCAACCCTTTTTCGCTTGCAAACCAAAAACCGGAACCATTTGCTAAAGGAAACCAAAAGGGACCGTCTATCGTAGTGTTTTCGTTTAAGACATCCGGTTGAACAAAGGGGAAAATTGGGGCCTCTATTCATGAGCTTCGCTTTCGTCATCTACCTCTTCCTCAGCGACACTTTCATTGTCGTTATCACTCTCCCCAGAACTGTCGTTGTCTTCCTCTTCCTCATCCTCGAGCCCTTCGATGGGTTCCCATTCATTATAGCAGCCTTGGATCCATCGCTTACTTCGCTTTAGGTTGTATGGATCAAAAGGGAAGTAACTGTCTAGTTCTCCATGACTGCTCAGCCCCCTGCGTTTATTCTGCTCGATGATGGTAAAGCAGTAAACCAGTTGAAAGTGGGATGCAATCTTCGCGAACGTCTCGACAACGGCTGGTGAACAAACCTTAATTTTTATTAAACCTTTAGCACACGAAAATACCATAGCCAAGGTTAACATGTAGGAAGCATACCTTTAAGGGGTTAAACTTGGAAGTGATGGCCTTGTTAAGATTCTGGAGAAATCCCACCCACCGCTCTCCGATAACACCGAACTCATCTTCCTCGACCTCTCTGAGATCCTTCCATCTGAAACAGAAGATATACATAACAGCTTGGCAGACACTGTAAAACCCACCCCACTTTGAGACGTCAGGCCCCTCACATTCTGCGGAACGTTGATCTACGAAAGCCCCGAGCCATCGACACATGATCTTTGTGGCAATCTGGACATAATGTCCAGGCATTAGCTTAGCCCTAGAAATAAATGAAGCGACATAAGCCGCCGCCGCTTGTCTAGCGCCAGGCTGAAGTGTATTATCCAATGCTTTAGTAATAGCAGTAACGCAAAAGGTATCTGAAAAGCGCGGAGCCTTCTGCGCGGCCCAGAATACCAGAAACTGTGTGTAGCGGGAGCGGTATGTGGGCAAGATGATGCTATTGAAAAGCTTCATGATAAGCCCAAAGTTCTCAATGGACTCTTGGGTGGGGCTTTCAACACTCTTGTTCGGAAAACTCTTTGAGTAATACGAGAACAATATGTCAAGCATAGCGTCGAGCTTATCCACAGTGTCCTTGATATTTGCCACCGCGTCTATGCCATACTCCTCGCTTGAGTCATCGCCGTCCTCCATCTCCTCCTCCTCCTCCTCCTCTTCAGCTCCGATCATGGCCCCACCCTCGTTTCCTTCTATCTCTGCCCCTGTAATCTCGGCCTCCAACTCCTCGCCTTGTTCATCCTCCAAATCGTCAAGGTCGGCTTGGATTTCCGTGTCGATTTTGATGACCCGGTCGGTGACGAAGGCCAATAACTTGTTTCGGAGCGAAGGGGCATACTCGATAACTCGTAATAAATTCGTGACGTAGGTAACGTGGGCTTTCTTGCTCTCGCTCTTGTGTGGAAACTCAGATATCAAGGCTGGAAAAAGGGTGGAGAAAGCCGCAGTCGGGACTAGGTCAAGGATGAACTGCAGGGCATAGTGAACACGCTCATATATGGCACCTCTCTTGACCGGCGTGTGGTTGGGCAGCTTGCCTGCTGAGCTATGCACTATCGGAAAAGTCAAACCCCGAACACAAGAAACAAACCAAGGGGGTATCCGACTTACGCCAAACCAAATGTTGAACGAGCATGTTGACGATCAAATCCATATAATTCGAATGTGCGCTAACTAAATTACCCAATAGTTTCACATATGATCCCACAAAGCCGCTCTCCCTGGCCACCCACTGGCAGCCGATAATATCTTTCACTAGCTGGGAACACGATCCGTTTAGCCTCGAAACGGTATTTGTAAGAGCCAAAACGGTATTCTGCAACTCCAAAGAAGATGGTGCATCCTCACTGCCGGGATCCGCCGAGAATTTCCGCCGGAGAAGCTCAAAGTTGGCATTGCTTCCCTACGAAATGAATCAGCGTCAGCTGTGAAGATCTCGACGGCAGCAGCAGCAGGATCGAGAAACTTACAGCAGTTCGTTCATCCAGAGCATTGTTCACAAATTTTCGGAACAGGGAGTTGGTTACATTTGTTTCCGTAGTTTTTATCTTGACACCCGCACTCATTTTGACCCTTTTGCTGGAAGGGCCCCTATTCTCGGAATCAGACCCTGGAGTTGGCTGCTCACGCTTCACACCAATGGCGAGTTTCGTTTGGCTCCCATTCAGGTGAGCCTGGCGGCTCACGGTGGACGATTCTAACATGACCGGTAACTTTTTGCCCCAAGCCAAAGCGACAGAAGGAGGAGCCAAGCGGGTGAGCGGTCATATGTGTGGAAGAGAGAAAGAACGGGGGACAACTGCTGTTGCGCATTCGCCCATTCTACTTTTCCTCCCCGCGGTTGTGCGGATTTCGCACAAAAAAATCTGCCCTAGCCCTACCGTACGGTACTGTTACCCTGAAGTCCTTGTGTAAGCGCTAAGGCACCATCGGTAGGGTACTACCGGTAGTACCGTAGCCTGGGCACGACTACCGGCACTACGAGTAAATTTATATCATAATACCACCATCGAACCTCGCAAATTGATAATACCTGCCAGAACTAGAGACAATATATATTCCCGAGGCAGTGGCAGTCTACATCTGCCATTCAAGGACATGACAGACATGCGTCGTATATACTATACGGTACTGTAATACCTTCTCCCATAGTGATAATTTACTTCCTCTCTGCTGCTGCGAGTAACGCAAGCGTGGCCGGTAATCATCGCTATCATGCAGCCACGTCCGCAGTGTTCTCATACTCTTCCAAGCGCTGACTTAATGCACGGGCCATTGGAAATGCTTCGCTGGTCCTCTCTTTCACCATTCAGCGAAATAAATTGTGGCAGAATCTCGCATTGTCCCTTGGGCCATATCCGAGAACAGTTATTCCGAATGGACCTTGTCTTTACGGAGGCGGCTGTACGATACGGCCTGTATGATAGGTGATAAACCAAGCTTCATCTCCACCACTGAAAAGCTACTCAAATTGCTCCGGTAGGCAAGAACTAGGTGAGCTGTGAGGACACTCGCGCTGCCCTATCGGCTCCAGGTAAATTTAGGGGTCGAGTATCATACCGGTGTGGAGGGATAGGTTTGATCGCTTGTACTCGAGTAGATACTGCTTTCCATCTATCTACCGGTATATTGGGTTCAGCTTCATCACCTTTTACCTCAACACTATTGGTCATCTTTCAAGAACATCAGTCACCTATATTTTCAGCCCTCTTATCCTACGGTTTACAAGGCAGTTACCCAGAAATCCTAGCAACCGAAGTTCCAGAAGCGCAGCCTAGCCGAAAATACCATCCAATCTACGGAAGTCGACAGAGCCACTTCCACACAGGTATGGCAGCTACGGTAGGTCATGATACCTTCCAGTAGCCCAATCTTGGCACGCACAGGACAGCTTCTACTCGTACTCGAGAGGCAGGGAGATGAGGCTCAAAACTCTCACCTTATTATGCAGATTACCAACGGATAAAGACATGACATACCTACGGCACAATGGGCTAGAACCCTTGCCCATTACCCCCACTGTGATTTACAATTCAACCCGCAATGCTCTTCCCCGCTTCCCCTTTTCGGGACACCGCTACATCTCGCCCGCCGTTCCCCCCCGCAACCTATCCCTCGCCACAATGGCTGCCCCAACCAGATTACGGTTTGCTCCACTTGATACATCAAAAACTCCTTCGGCAGAAGCTCCAAAGCTCCAGGGTATCGTTTTTGACGTCGATGGAACATTATGGTACCTTCTCTCCCTTCTCCGGCTGGCAATGGAACTTCTGCCTGACACTTACCTCTCAAGTGAGCCCCAGACATGGATGTTTGCACGAATACGAGCCGCTCTAGGAATTGCCAAAAGTGTTGATATCCTAAGCCATGTTTACTCCCTCGCAATTGAGAAACAATCGGCCGCTATGGAAAGCGTTCGAAATGTCGAGAAGGAGGCAATGCTGAAAATGATTCCTCAGAAGGGGTTGATACCACTCATGGAGTATCTTGATAAGAGGGGCGTCAGGAAGGCTATCTGCACCCGTAACTTTGAGTGCACTTCCCCCCGCTTGCCCTTACCCAACTTACGAATAGTGCTAACCGGTATCAAACATAGGGCTCCGGTCAATTACCTCATATCGAATTTCATGCAGGGTCATGTATTCTCCCCTATTGTCACCAGGGAATTCCGTCCCCCCAAACCCGATCCTGCTGGTATCTTGCATATCTCGGGGAGTTGGGGGCTTGAGGATGGAGGTAGGAGGTTGATCATGGTTGGAGATAGTGTGGACGATATTACTGCTGGAAGAAGGGCCGGTTCAGCCACGGTTCTTCTCGTAAACGACGTTAATAGAAGCCTGGTGGATCATGAGAACACCGATTGTGTGATCGAAAAGTAAGTCACTCCCCGCAGTCTTGAGGCTTGGTTCAGCTCATTGGGGATTACCGTACAGTTTGGAAGATTTGATCCCAATCCTCGAAAGCGGCTTCACCGAAATAGATAGGATGGCTCCCAACCCCAAGAATGAACACTAGACTCTGCCTATCCTGCCATAGTGCGGAGAAGCTTAGCCCACTTACAGGGACTATAAGGGGTTCTTAGATACCGGAGATGAAGAATACTACACTCTTTCTCCCCTGATAAATTTTATTCATGACGCCTTATTTGCTAGGTGTCCTTTTATACAAACCTATGGCATACCTTATCACCAGATGGCCCAAGTTGGCTTTATCCCCCCCTATGCGGTGCTCTAGCGCTGCGAAGGCCGTCCCTAAGATACGGTGTACGGGAGCAATGCCGAAAGAACCCTTTAATGAGACTGTATAATACATGCCACCTCCAGGGCCCCCATGTGACAACGCAAACCACTCTGTGAAATCGGATATCAGCCCTAGCCAGTACCAGTGACTGAGATCAGACCGCACCTATTCCCTCTGCACGATAACTAGTAATCCCATGATACCCAATAATACTGTCTTCATCCAGGGATGTTCGCTGAGCATAATGGTAACGTAACCCACGAAAGGCACATATCCGACCACACTCCCAATAACCTCCTTCTCGCGATCGAGGTACCACCTACCGCGCGCGTAGAGCTCGGTATCATCGGCGTGGTTGTTGTCGCCCTTGGTGAGGAGATGGAGAGGCGTTTTGCTGCTCACTCGGTTAGTAGAGTTCCATCTGATGGTCGAGACGTGATACGTACGGTCCCTGGTGCTTTCGCACAACTCGGTGGACGATGGGGATGTCTTTCCCGATGACATTGTACACAACTACATCCCCATCCGTTAGTACGTGTGATTGCATGTCTCCACAACTGTACGAAGTGTCACGAGCAACAGCCTACCAATTTCGCCGACCTGCGTTCCAGGTGTAGGAGGGTTATCGAGTTCCAAATTCCGGTTCCATAAGAATAATAGGTCCCCGCGCTGAAATGCCGGCTCCATGCTCCCTGACAGCACCACGACAATAGGACTGGGCGAGTCAGTTGCGACTGAAAGACCCTTCCATAACATGAACGCTGTTGAAAGTATCAAAGCAAAGTTCAAAACTTGGGAAAGGAGTTGTCGTGGCTTTAGATGCCGTAATTCAGAGAGACCCAGAGCATCCATGCTTGCTGTGCGGAGTTGAGGCTTGGGACGAGAATGTGGGGGGTGGGTATGGGGTAATGGTTGTTTCCGCCTTTTGGCCTGGTATCATATCATGAGGAAGGGAGCAGTCTGAATTGGGTGTGCTGAAAGGAAAGGTGTCGTGAATTGTCTTGGCGTTACCCGGCTTACCTTGGATAATTGAAGCTCGAGGTTGGCAGGCCCGGCATCTGCTGCATCTCTTCCCCGAACTACCCTACTGGTGCATCGCTTTACTTCCGCTCGATCTCCGATTTGAAATACCGGTGCCGCCCAAGGCGAGCCCAAGTGACCATTTCTCACCGGGGAGAGAACTCTCCTGTAGCTCCCGACATGCTCTCTCGGCGAGGGGGCCAAGTTCCCCTTTTCGGTTCGATGGGTACTGACTTAGAAATAAATACTGTGTGGTGGGCGGGATAGAGGCTGCAGCAAGTATGAGCCTTACATTTTCCTGCGCGGTATCACGAACAGCGCAATCCGCATCTCCCGGTCAATTTATCTCGCCATCTCATTATACCACTCATCACGGGGGGGGGAGTAGGACAACAATGACAACAGTGCATCGCAGACCTAGCCGCAGTACAGTACAGATGTTCTTGACCCTTTCCAACTCTGGTGGACAAGATTAATCATCCGCGGGTCACGGGCATTCGTTTTACCCGATGCCGTTCTGCCCCTTGGGTAGATAAATACTCGAGTAGAGAGTATCCGGGTGTCGTAATAACTCTCTTTCTAACTTGTCACCGCAAGATGTCCCTCCTCGATGTTCCGAACGAATTACTGCTCCTGATAGCAGAAGCCCTCGATCCAAAAGCCCTTAGCTCCTTCCTCCGCGTGAATAGGCGCTTCGCAGCCCTTTTGATCTCCCCACTATACTCTCTGACATTGCATGACAATTACGCTGTTTCGGCTTTCAAATGCGCTGCTCGGAACGAATGCGACCACATCATCAAATTCATGATCTCGAGGGGTGCAAACCTGGAAGCTAGAGGTCTGGATGGGAGGACGGCATTGACTTGGGCTACTATGATTGGCAATGAGGCCGCCGCCAAAATTTTGCTGGAGAACGGGGCGAGCACTCGAGAAGCCTTACACTCCGCAGCGAGATTTGGGTGGGCGGGAATGGTCAAGCTCTTGGTGGAGGGAGGGGCGGATGTCGATGGAAGAATTGCGAATTTGGCTACTCCACTGCACATGGCGGCGATGTACGGTTGGGTGGATGTGATCAGGGTTTTGTTGGATCATGGGGCGGACGTTTTGGCGCGGAAGGAAATGCCAGATTCTACGGGCCAAGGGACCGCAGTGCACCTTGCTGCTTGGTACGGGCATAGGGATGTTGTGAAGGTGTTGTTGGAAGCAGGCTCCCCGGATACCTCTGAGGTTATTGGAAACCACCGGCGACCTGTCGTATAGCAGGCGCTACATGCATGCATGATGTAAATCTGTGGATGGGGAAGGCGACATTGGGGTCTCTGACTTTATGGCTTTTTCCCCGTAATATTTTTTCCCATGCATGTCCTTCTTGTACCGTGGGGATATTTTTTACCAAAATAAAACGCATCGTAACCGAGACAACCCGTTCAAACCAGTTGATCTCATAATACGAAAAGCACGATATTCTCTCAATCGCGTTTTCATGACCCTGTGAATAGTCTCAAGCAGATGCAGTGCCCGAGCTTTAAAGATGACCCGAACCCCTAACCCTGTACCCCAACCCACCAAACTTTCCCCCCCCCCCACCTCCAACACAAGCTCAAGAATACCGCCACCCGACGATCCACTCTACAACCACCCTCAGGTGAGCTATGATACACAGAAGCACATAATGCCACTCCGAACACCACACCTTCTCCGCAAAGGCCTACACATCCGGCTCCCGCGCCCCTCCCTCCCACCACAACCCAACCGTCGATCGATCCCCCACTACCGCGCAGCCACCCTCCCGCCAATGACGAAGCCCACAACGCCAACACCAGCCCTCCCCCCAAACCCCACCGCCTCCACTTCCACCTCCTCCACAACCCCCGCGAGCCCAATCCCCTTTACCCCCGACCCGCTCGACGACTCCCTCCTAGTGGGCGACTACCCAACCTTCTCCGAAACCAGCACGAGCCTGGGCCTTTACCACTTGCACGTGTACTCCCCCCGCCACAACTGCCACATCGCGTACACGAGGCCGAACGGCGACTGCATCATCAGCAAGTCCACGGGCAACGTGGGCATCAAGGGCGCGGCCAAGGGGAGCTTCGACGCGGCGTTCCAGCTCTCCTCTCACGTCTTGGGAAAGATTGCGGAGATGAATGAGGTTCCCAGGTGTGTTGAGTTGCTGTTGAGAGATTACGGGTCCGGGAGGGATGCGTTTATGAAGGCTTTTATGGGGAGGGAAGGCCAGTTTCTCAGGGGGAGTATTAAGAGGGTTACGGATACTACCAGGGTTAAATTTGGGGGGACTAGGGGCAAGGCACTTAGGAGGTTGTAGATGTTTCTTTTTTCTCTTTTTTTGTAGATGGGAGGGGACGGGATTGTGTATTATATTCGGGGGGTTTGGATGACTTGGAGGGTTGTTCGATATTGTACTCGTATATGCACCAACTTATGGTGGACCAAATACTCGTAGATTGGTGGTGGGACACTCGCACTAGGGCATCACCGTATCATATTACCATAGCCCACACTTCTTGCCGGTGGGTCAGATTCCTCACGTGCTTTCGGCTGGGAGTTGTTCATGAAGTGGTTCCGAGACGTGGGCGGATCGAAAAAAGTCTAATCCCAATCACAGAGTCTCAATCTTCAATGTGACAATGCTACCATCAAACTTGAAAAGAAAGAAAAATCATGAAAACGACTTTACCATACTCGCAGGAGTACGGTAAACTACCTCATGGGAAGAAGAGACCGGGCGATGTAGCGGTACCCGTAAAACTAATCTCCACCACCGTCAAGCACCACCAGACAAGCCATACAGCTTACGTTCATGTACTGGTAGACAAGACATAGTACTGGTACCGTGTCATACTGGTGTCATACTGGTGCGGTATTCTAACAGACACTCGCTTCATTCTAAACTAATACTCGAGTACTGTACGGTTAGCGTTGTTGGCACTAAGTCACGGAAAGTTGTGCCCGGCACGGCACTATGTAGTGCCCAGGCAATCCACATACAAATAAAATGATTCTTCTAAGGGGAAAGACATGAGAAACTATCTACAAGTCCAACTCACACCGAATATCATCCATTTCCCATCCCTGTGGGTCCTTGCCCTGCTGAAGTGCCAGAATATTGGCCATTTTTTTTGACAATCATATTGTGCCAATAGTAGGTTGTGCCATCAGCTAATCTCACTGCTCGAGTGCACTCCGGCATTTTGTAGTGCCAACAACGCTATGTACGGTACATCGGGTGAGGTATTACGCCCGCGTCATTCAGTACTAGCACTACAAGAAAGGATGTTACTTTTTTTTTTTTTTCATAATAAACACGCCAACACACGTCTATCTTACATTACCCCTCCTGCGCTCCGGCACTCGCTCGCTCGCAATAGTCTAACCATCAAGCAGCCCCGAGCTCTCAATCATAGCGTGCAACTCGGGCTCCAAGAATTTGGCGATGGTAACATCCTCGCTCAAACCCTTTCTCCTGCGGGTCTTGAGGGTGAGGTCTCGGGCCATGGCCTGCGCAGAAGCGGGCTCCAGCGGTCGGAGTTTCACTTCTTTGTCGAGGGGGTCGCCGGGTACGATGCTCCACCTGTCGAAGACGAGGGAGCAGAAGGCCATTCCTTGCGTGTGGATCTATAAACTTGTTAACGGTTCCGTAGGGGGTAGGATGGGCTAGAGGGTCTTACCCTAACATCGGTTTCGAAGCCGAAGGAATCGATGACTGGGATTAAGCCCTTTACAAGATACAATGCTGCGGAAAGCAATCGTTTCAGTTATCGGAATCTGAACAGTATCTAGGGGATTCAGCTTACGCGTTCCAGCTATAGGCCCGTCGGATAACACATGCCCTCTTCGCTTCGCGAGAACAGTATAAAGCGCGGAAACCGAATCGGCGGGCCCGGTCATAGAGCAAGAGTACATGGGCTCCATAAGTCGAGGAGACGCCATCAAAAACGATGAGTAGCAAGCCCTTCGCGCGGTAGGGATAATCTGGCCACCTCCGCGGTAGATAGCCTCCGGGGCAAGCGTAGCATCCATGATCCTGAACTTGGTATTTCGGATAGCTAGGGACTTTTGTCAGTATAGCACTAACAAGCAATCAATTGACTCCTTTCAAAACTCACGTTCCTCACACAGAGGGCCTTCCCTAGTACCCCAAGAGAAACCTTGCCGGATGCTATCTCGGACCTGGTTCAGTAGCTTCTTGTCCACCTCACTTGGTAGAGCGTCGTCTTGAAGGATATTCGGTCCCCTCTCGTCAGGCCCGAAGGCCCACACACTGCGACTTGCCAATAAATCCCATCCGTAATTCTCCTCGAAGAATTTTCCAACCTTCCGGATCGGCCACTTGATGCTGACCTTCCCGCTCTCTATATCCTCCGCGATCCCCGAATCCAATGGTTCTGCGACCATTGTAATCTTGTTTTTCTTATTAGGCGTCTGCGCATAGCACTTGATGGCCGACGTCTCTACGACAGTCTCACAGAAACGCGTGACCGGGTCAGAGACTTTAAGTTCCATCTCGGAGAAAATCCGTCGAAGATCGTGAAGAACGCAGTCCATATATAGCTCTCCGGTGCCCAAGATCACATGCTCACCGGATTCTTCGACTTTCGTCGAGATAAGAGGATAACTCTTGTTTATCTTTCGAAGGCCATCAAGCATCTTTGGAAGCTCTGAAGGATTTACTGGCTCGACAGCGACCTTGAATACCGATTCGGTAAAGTGTTTTATGGGTCGGAAAACATAAGCATCATCATCCATCTTGTGTGCCACTACGGTGGCCGACTTGACGATGGAATTCTCGATCCCTCCCAGGAGCACCCAACATCCAGCGGGTACACCGCTTGCAGGTACCTTGTATCTGGTTTCGGCTATCCAACAATCCGATATAGTAGCTGTGACCATGTCTTCCTCATCATCGAGGGTATATCCTTCGCCCAGAACGCGCACCTGGATACCAGGTTTCACAGTTCCGCTCATAACCCTGCCGAACGACAGGAAATCTGAGGCATTGCTGGTGTGGTATAACTTTGTTATTTGGATGGCCAATGAGCCTTCAGGGTCACACTTCTGCATGGATTCGGCGAGCTCCGTGTCCAATGGCCCCGTGTAAGTATTTTCAACCTTGGCCTTTGCACCAGCCAAAGGGGAAGGAATGTGCTCCACAATCATGTCGACAAAACCAGTAGCTGTGCCAAAAAACTGCCCACAGACTAGCTTTAGAAGAACCTTAGCGTCCGTTCTATACTGCGCAGGTTTGAGGGATATCCCAAGACCAGCAAGCGTTGATTTCAGGCTGCCCGTACTTTCTCCAATCGTCTGAATGAAAGGTTAGTAGCCCTGATTCTTTCATAGGAGTTGGGAGCTTACATGAGAATAAAGCTTGTAAAGAGGCTCAAGGATGAAGTGCACAAAAGACCTTCTCAACCCCGCCTCCATAGATTTTCGAGTAAACTTTCTAGTGCCAGGATTATAGAAGATATTACCCCACAGTCTCTTTGCAAACTCCGCAATATCAATTCCAGAGTAAGTATCGGCATACATCTTGGCAAAGCTAGCCAACGAAAAGCACCACCCCATGCTTGCACTAGCAAAGCAGATATTTCCCTTCTCAGGTGAAAGTCTCATGCTCGCACCCCTTCCCGGGGCCGCGTTTTCAATGACCGTATTTACCTCCTCGATCGTATGCTTCAGCTTGAAATATGCATCTGTGGGCGGGAGTTTAAGCTCTAGTATCAGACGGTCGACCTTGTTCAAAACCAAAGTCATCGGAATATTCTCATTGACAGCATATTTGATTATCTGTTCAGTGTTGACCATTACACCCTCAACAACATCCACAACAAGCACGATGCCGTCGGCGACCCGCATAGAACAAGCCACCTCATCCACAAAGTTGACGTGGCCTGGGGTGTCAATAATGTTGACCAGGTGGGACTTGCCCTTCGAGGACTGTAGCACGAGAGACATAGGGGAGGATTTAACAGAAACACCGCGCTCACGCTCGACGACATGGGTATCTGTGTATCGAAGCTAATCGTAATATTAGATTTCGCTCAAGTGATGATCTAGTGTAATCCGCACCTGTTCCCCTTTCTTTCCCTCCGTATTTCCTTCCAGGTCATGAGTCTCCACAACCAACATGTCCATAAACGCAGTTTTTCCATGATGTAGGTGCCCAACCAAGGCAACATTTCTAGCTTGATCCGGGAAACCCATTAAATCCATCATAAACCTACGCACTATCAGTTCCGTGACAACCTCTAGTCTCAAATGTTGGAATACCCTTACTCTCTTGAGAAATGAGTCTTTGGAAGATCAGCCTCCTCGACAGTAAACTTCTTAACCTTAATAGGAGCTATTCAGCACATCAGCTTCAATCGTTTTCCGCAGAAGAACAGGAATCCATACCTATGATTGGCTCTGACAGCGGCTGCGCATCCTCCTCCTGTACCAGAGTCTCAACATCCGCCCCGTAGGTCTGTTCCGCTGTCGGATAGTATTGTTTATCTATGAATTAAAACATGTCAGTATCCCCATGCATTTGAAGAAAAAGAAAAAGAATTGAGACCAACCTTCATGAAGCACAACCGCGTTGGAAGGACCCTCGTCTATCCCGCCCCACCATCAGCACTCACACTCCCTACCACCCCAGCCGGGGAAATCTCATACCGTCAAGCTCCATCAATTGCTGCGCATCTTCACCAGCAGCCGATGCCTCCTCGTCGTCGTAGTCAACGTAAGCATCTGCGCCGTTATCGCCTCTATGTTCTTCCTCATCCGAATCGACAGCCTCCCCGATGAAATTTCCGAACCTAAGTTAAAACAAAGGACACCTCGTTAGTCCACCGTCCCGCGCCAAAGGTAGCAGTCACATACTCGTCATAAAGGTCGTCCATCGCGTGCGTAATTTCAGGGGAAAGAAGGGGATGTATGCTAGTATGGAATAAATGAATGGACTGGTAAAATGGGAAGAAATGGAACAAGCTTCGCGTTGACTTCCACTGGCATCCTCTCACGTGATTTATATCTCCCTCAGGCCGGGTAATAGGCGGCTATAGACGCCAAGATCCAAGGCCCTAAGTCAATGCGCAGCATTGACTTAAGCGCTTGGTCCACACTCGCTCGTACGAACTCTCAAAGTACTCGAGTACAAGTATGATACAGCATGGTGCGTTTGTGTGGCATCATAACTTATCATACCCCAGAGTGCCCCGATTTCTACGAACCCCAACACCACAGGCAAAACATCATGATCTTTGAATTCAGCTGTATGATATCATAAATAATATGGGCAAACGTAGCAAAAAGCCCTTATGACCCCAATTCACACATCACCCCACTCTATAGCACCAAATACCTTCCACTTCTCCTCCCACCCAACATCCTCACATTCCCACACCCATACATATGGGGAAAACATGTCTCCCCAGATCACCCACATCCTATCCTCCGCAACCCAACGCTGTCGTAAAGTCCTGGAGCCAAACCTCAACGAATTCGTCTCGCAGCTCTCGGAGCAGGAGACGGAACTCATCGAGCGCATCTCGGAGGAAGATGCAGCGGCGATGTTCAGCATCTGGCAGTCGGAGCAAATCGCTCGCTTCTCCACCCTCTGGAAGGAGGAGTTCATGAGGCGCTATGTGGCCGAGGCGGATCTGCGCGAAGCGAGGGAGGAGCTGAAGCAAGCGACCGGCGACCTGAAGGTTTTGAGGATACTGCTGGAGGAGAGGGTCGGGAAGGAGAAGGAGATGGAGGCCGAGGTTCGCTATCTGAAGAGGGCTCTGGAGGCGAGTAAGGCCCCGGCCGTAGAGGCAAAGGAAGTTGACGTCCGGACACAACCTCCCCTCGCTGGACGTCCGAAGTCAACTTTGGGATTTCGCTTGGGGAGATGCAATGGCTAGGTTTGCGTCCCATCATTCTCCGCCTTTCTGTCAGCAATTTTTGGTGGGATTGACCGAATTTTCTGGCAAATTAGCATCGCAAGGCAAACTTTGTGGTCATCAGATATCACTCGCATGTTCAAATTCCCTCGCCCTTTTCCCAAATCTGCCAGGAGCTTGCACCACTTAGGAAGGCTTCGAAATCACACCCCCGCCAAACGCCGGTATCTTACTGGGATATCCTACCTAGTACCTTCTCAGAGCCAAGAGATTGTACAACCTGTTCTTAATAGTTTCTGTATTTTGTGGGGGGGGGGGCGTGGTGTACTACAATACAAGAAACCGAACGGGTTTCTTTAAAACCAACCTGTGTGTGAGATGTCGGGGCGTGATTTCTTGTCATCCAAGCCGTTGAGACATTCCAGTGAGTTATTTAAAGCCCCACTCGTTACTCGAGTGCGGTTATTATACGCCCCACCCTGAAAGGTCATGTCATGGTTTGAAAACCCGGCAATCGCTTGTATAAGACTGCATAAAATTGTCTGTACCCGGCTGTAGGAAAACAGTTGATCTACGATGGTCTCCAAACTTTACATTGAAATGCGCACGGTCCTTCTTTTTGAGTCTCAAATGATCATAGTTATTATGTGAGGAACAAGATCCGGGCCAATCACAGGGCGAGAGTTGGCGTTAAGCCTATTTCCGTGCTGGGTGTTAAATGGGAAAGCACTCGAGTACGGTGGTTGCTAGCAGGTTGCGGGTGCTAAAGGTGGGAAAATTCACGACGATAGGTTGCTACGTCAGTAAGACGGAAGATTGTGTTTATTTTTTTAGAAAAAGACTAGTGCCACCTTTGAAACAGAACTCCGATCTAAAAAATAATAATCTACAAGACAACTCCGTGAACCAGCTCATTCATGTACTTCATGACGGCATCAACAGGATCAGACTCCTGTTGAAATATCCCCTGCACTCTCCCGACCAGCTCAGTGAAACCTGCAAGGGCAGAACCACCTGTTTCGTCCAACTTCATCAACATCTCTCTCAGCCATTCATTTCCCAATTTCAATACCGCTACCAAAATGTCGCCATCAACGTGGCCCATACGTGGGTCCCGTAATCCATTATCAGTGCCTTGGGGGCTGTGTCTTCCGATGCCCGCCTTGGTTCGGTATAAGTCCTGAATGTATCGTAACAGATGCAATGAGTCCTCCTCTAGCAAAGTGAGGTGGAACATGGAGCCATCAATCCCCGAGGCGATAAGATCCTTGCCCGAGGTCCTTGTTCCCGGAGGTGCCCTTTTCATGTGCCAAGGAGGGCGGAGGTTTCCTTGCCGTATGCGGGAGACGGAGCTGGTTAGTTCGGCCTCAACAACTGTGACTAAGCTTTCAACATTACGGCGGTCTGTGGATGCGTTAGAAATCCTATCCCCTCTTCCAAAGGATGGTTAGGTTAATACCTGGGGGCTGCCATAATCCCACAACTCCTAGTTCTTTATCCGTTGCAAGAAAAAACCCTTGGAGCAGTTGAAAATGATGGAAACCATTCCGAGCAACCTCGTCGCTGGCCATTGTGAGAAACTGTTATGAAAATTGCGCCATTGCATATTCGGCAGGGGTATCATACCTGAAAAGTTCGTTAAATTTGTCATCCTCAAATTTGAGGATGAGCATTGAATCTTCCCCACATGACAAGTGTATCCAAGGCTCTGCCACGGTTATTTGAACTGCTGGGGATCTAAGCCTTTTCTCTGCGACAACATCAAATCTAAGGACATGTTAGACCAGGGCCGACAGGTGCCTTGAAAGGTGTATCACTTCTTAGTTTGCGCGTTTAGAGTCCTCATATTGATGCTGTGACCTGAGCAGTATACTAGTGAACTGGTAAAATTAGCAAAAATTTCTCAGCACCCTGTCCGATCACCTCTCTTTACCTGTTGCTGTATGGCGCGAGCGAATACACTGGTGCTTCACACGGGATCTGATAGCGTCGACGGACTTCAACGCCACCGGATGGCCCTAGTATAACCGACAGTACTAGAACACGGCCTTTAAGGTGACTGGAAGCTGTAACGTTGATATAACCAGTTCCGACAACGATATACCGGTAAAATTTTCCCTCGGTCTCCATACTCCATTCTATCAGATGGTTAGATCCGCTTGGTTTGAGCGATAAGATGAGGTGACAAAACCTGTCAAACAATAAATCTGCTCGTTTGCCTTCCCAAAGATAATATCTTTCTTTGAGCTATCACGGATGTCATTATCAGCCTTTGACTGGCCCCTATTCTTCGTCAGTAAAGACTAGATACCACGCCAAATTCCTTAACACAACACCTAGGCCTTCTGGGGCATTTGATAATAGGCTTTTGACGTGGTGGATAGGGTGGAGGCGGGTCAATGAAATCGTGCAAACCGATCCCCAAATGCACTGGTGGGGGGTATTTATATGCTCACGTTCTTGGGTCTATAAATCGCAACGAACAGAAGGATTTGCGCTTTCCTGGAACGTGTTTTTCGCTCTCAACGCGCGGGTCGTCGGATGCAGTCCTAGAGCAGGCAACGATCAAGATGTTCAATGGCTTGTAGAATAGGAGCCTTCTAGGTGTCTCGTAGAGCCTTAACCTCCGGACACAGACCTTCTCGCTTTCCCCCACATCGGCGAAAAAAATTTGATCCTTCGTAACGCCAACAACTATATTTTCGGGGTCTGGCGAGGTATCGATTTGGGCGAAAGCAACAAGAGAAGGCTGGGTAGAAGTCAGTTTCTGTTGCTCGCCGTGCCCATGGGGGGATTAAAAGAGCTACCTCAACTTCAGATTCTTCAAACACAACTTGAGATGCCCTGAAGTTACCACTTGGCAAATCAAACCGAAATAGTTCAGGCCCAGCCAAAATGAATGCCGAATCGCTACGACTAACATCTGGGTATATTTGGACCGGCGTTGGGCCAAACTTGATCCCATCGATCCTCTCCAGGCTGAGGCCTTCGTAAGTCAGTACTTGTGTATTCCCTAACGTATTGCCTTATGGCCAAATCCAGTATTGGCGGTCATTGGCCATATGTCATCAAAGTGCAGATTCACCTCGTTGCCATTGTATGTCCATCACCAGGACAGTGCCTCCTCGCAAGCCGCATAGCATTCGTGCCGCCCCACTCGCCCGGATAATAACAGCACATTCGCAAATGAACAAGTCCTGCTCCCCTTGACAGCTGTCGCTCATCACTGTGCTCGTTAGGCCGTGCTTCCTGACAGGGAATACGGGACTTACTTGACTTTTCCAGGAGAGGCACAAGCCCATTTGAGAAATCGAAGAGAAATAATTGTATTGTAGCTTGCCGGGTTCCTACCGCAGCCAATATTCGGCCATTGCTGTCCCAGGTCATTATTAAATTTGCAAAGAGGCAAATAATCAGTATCACACATCAGAGACCTACATTTCCAATACCGAGATGAAAGTTGGTTCCTCGGCTAAGCTTGTGGGAATCCCAATAGGGCTAAGGAAGTCTTCGCTGAGAAATGTCAGTACTGTATATGTAGCTAGGCCTGCAGAGAACTCACATATTTTCATCAACCACAATAGTAGCTAATGTCAACCTAACTAGAAACCCATTGCGAATAGCGACCACAATATGATTCCCTTTCAAGGCTGCGGCTACTATAACATCCCCGCCGCCGCATCGGCGTCTAAGAATTGACATTTGCGGTTCATCCGCCATTTCAACGTCCCTGCCAACTTCTCGGTGGTTCGTGAGGCTAGTATGCTTTAACTGTGCGATATTAATTGTGCTTGGTGTAACCTGTGCCGAATGCTTCCCCACGGCACCAGCAGCCAGAGTAGTTTCGTTCATATCCAACAATTCGAGGTCACTTGCGTCCTCCCACTCTCCATCGGGTTTTAAGAAGCACAAATTCGACTGATCCGGTAACGATGAGAACAGGAAGTAACCGACATCCGAGCAATCTGGTAGCACCCACAACCTTCGAACACCTCTCATCTGATGATCTGCTGACCCCTGGATCCTAGCCTGTATTCCATAACGGAGTTCGGTAATTGCACCATGATCTCCACGACCCGTGCAAGCAAGAATCCGATCTCTTTCCACTTTTCCACTAGCATGGCCTTGGGCAGGCAGGTTAACAAGCTCAAAGTCGAAAACCGGTGACCAATTGGCCACAGACTCCTCTAACTTTGGCTCGGTCTCAGCCGGATGAGGCCCTATCTTTAACTGATCCAAGAGCTTCAGTTCAAGTCGCTGGAACATATCGGATAGGGATGAAGCGGAGGTGGAACATCATCAATTTGACAAAACTTACTAGGTACACTCCACCACTGCTCATTTCCCCGCCGGCAACAAGCATGTCATTTTTGGTAAGACCAAAATCCAATGATGCAAACGCCGTCCCAATCGAGCAGTCAAGGCGGCAGGCTTTGTTGGCCAATTGAATCAAATTTGGGCCTTGAGTATCCACCTCTAAAAAGTAGATGTCACCGTCTTCCATGGCAAGATACATATCGTCGTGGTCGTAGGCATACTGCGGTGTCCTCAAGGGACGTGCCCAGGATGTCACAAGACTCCCTAGAACCAGTGTCAGAAATTCCCGAATTTATTGCTAGAACAGAGTGCTTACGCCTCTGTCCGTTGGGAGGCGCTGGCGGGAAAGCAATTTTGGCAAAAGACGCATTTCCAGACATGATATCCGAAGCCTTCACAACATGGGTCGAGTACTCAGTGACTAGTAAGAATGCTGAGCCCATTACTAGCGGGATAACATGTAGGGGCATTGAGATTTCTATCGGGCGTTCCACTTGTCAGATATCTATAGCTCGATCGGATTGGATAGTGATAATACCCTCCGATAATCGAAATCCGTGGTGACCATGCTTTGCGGCGGTCCACAGCGGCTTTGAACACCACCACTCGAATAACTGTAGCCGGGATTTCTGGCTTGAACTGAGTTTATGAGCTTCCCACTTCTTTGGTATCTCTATAGACACATAAATCAATCAACAATACTTACTCTATCACGAAAGCTAATAATATCACGTGATCCTGATCGTCGGGAGAAGGATGCAGGAACTCCATATGCATGATCAGTCCCTTAACCTCGAACGACTTCTCTTCCTTGATGGGGTTTAGAGGGAGCCCTTCCCGCAGCTGGCGCTCCAGCACCTCGATAGGATGGAGAGCATACATTCGGAATGAGTCCTGATAGGCAGCCACGGCCAATGCCCTCGATCTATGTTCGTTAGTTTCGATTAGCCAATCACCGGTGAAGGCAGGGGTAATGGTATACCGAGGATCTACAGCTATAGACTTCCCCAGAGTCTCCACGTGGATCCCCTTCTGATCGATTCTCTTCATCGATACCACAAAATTGACCTCACCCTGCTCCTCAGAGTTTTTGGCATAGACGAACGCAAGATGCCCCGAATCCAGAGTCAAGGCAAGGATATGGGGAGGTAACAAAGGCTTGGGGTCGTCTCCTTCCGCCGCTCCTGGCAGAATTCCACCATCTATCCCCCCCCCCCAACCCCACGCATAACAACATCGTCCTGCGACTGGGTTGCCAGTTCTTGTTTGAAAATGGCATCCTGTGGAGAATGGAAATTCTTCCTTGGGGAACCAAAAACTCTGGCGTGTCGAATACTCGCCTGAAAATCAGTCTTAGAGCCCACTTGGCGGAGTTTACCGTCATCTGTAAGAAGGTGCAATTCTATAAAAGTTTCCTAATAACACCCCGAGAAATCAACATCCTCCATCGAACCCACCCGGGGCCCAACAACAGCAAACGGAGCTGATAAAAAGAATAGGTGGGATAAAGCTGGAATAAGAAGGATAGGATTAGATTTACCCCAATAAAAGCAACATCGTTCAACTCTCTACTCCGTATCCTTGCGGGTATGATCTGCTTGATGACAGGAGAGTGGACCAGTGTTCTGCTCATCAGACCGTACCCCGGAGGTCCTTCTGGCGAACGCGAAAGAGCATCATTATTGAGGTTCTGCGCCATGAACTGATCCTGTTGAGTATCTTCTGTCCTCAACCGGCCGTTCACCCATGTATGCGAGTTTAGGTCCTCCATCAAAGCCTCGGCAGACAGCTATCCCTCCAGAAGCCCGGCTTGAGCCTCTTATATTAATTAAGCCTACGCAAGAGATGCTGCACCACACAAACTGGCTTTGAGACGATAATTGCCCTTCTACCGAGTCGCTCAAATGCCAGAGTGACAACAATCCTGTGTTTGTTTTTTCTCTTGCCTTTTCCGTTCCTTCTTTTTTCTTTTCTTTTTCCCTTTTCTTTGAGGGGGAGGGGGGGTTAAGGTAGACAGCGGTGTGGGAGAATCGAAAGATCGTCTGCGTTCTGCGTTCTGCGCTGTAGAGGGCGAATTATGTGTGGAGGATGGTACTCTACTCAAGTGTGTCGAGAGCGTATGCGAAGTGAAAGGACCTGGACTGACCCAGAGAGTGGAGTATGGCCTCCGAAGCCAGATCCCAGCTTCTTATCTCGTAGGTGCTGTTTTTTTCCCGCCCCCCAGCGTGTTTCGTTGCTCCAGGCCCTTTGAAGGTTAGAATTGGTTGGAATCAGACACACCGATGGTTCAATGCAAACAAGGGTTGATTCCCTGAAGGCGAAGAGAATGGCATTCAAATTTCAAAGGGGTTGATAGATGCTTTGGCGGGTAGCCGCTCTTTTGCCTCGATTCAATCGGGAGGGGCTGCGCACGGAAAGCTATACCGTTATCGGCGGAGGGTAAGGAAGCAATAGCTACGATGGCAGCTTACGGCCCGAAATGCTCGAGAGCTGGGTAGGTGGCTACCAGGTGCTGCCATGCTGGATTGTTCGTAGTTTGTGGCACTCTAACGACGTGGGTAGTCCAGCAGCGTTGGACAACACATTTGTTTATCGAGTAGTCTACACACGAGCGCTGCACGGGTGCTCCTACGGGCATAATGCCATACTGGTCTAACTTGTGATGCCTGATATCACAAATATACTACAGGCAAGCAAAAATTCCTACTCATGAATAAGTGTTTTCATCGTGTAGTCCGATGCCGCCACGGCCTCATGGTATTTTGTTCAAAGCAGCACAGTCTCTGCCTCGGTCAATCGTTGTCCCTCACTTTCCCCTGTATTTCCACCGAAACCGTGGAAGGAGAAGAAAAAAAGAGGGAAGGGGAGAGGGGAGGGGAGAGGAGAGGGGAGAGGGGAGAAAGGAGAGAGGAGAGAGGAGAGAGGGAGAGAGGGAGAGAGGGAGAGATACCGGTACAATACCGTGCATTTCTACGACCACTCTACTCGAGTTATCTCTTCTGATCTGATCCCGCGGCCCAGCTGTTTATGGGGGAGGGCAAAAAGGCATTGACAGGACGATTCACTGGAATGTGCAGTGCAAGTGTGTGCGAGGTGAAGCTGCACTACGGAAAACAGATTGGTGGAAGAGATGGAGGGGTACTGTATCATAACGGCTGCCCGCTGCTGGGGAAGCGCGCCCTGGTCGAGCACCGTCCTGGGCACGGGAAGGATCCCACCATCCACCCCTTAAGTTAACTTACCGAGTATCCGTCCGTGCAAGCACACCGTATCCACCAGACTAACTTATACTTGTACACTTCAGCAAGTGAGCTCTCAACAACAGAATATATATGCAGCTATGATGGATGATAATTTCTCTCAGAATATCCTCCAATACCGCTACGATATGGGAGAGAAGAGGCAAACCATGGGCGATATCAAAAAAAAAAAAAAAGAACATACCAGATTGGCACATCAGATTGGAGTTAGACCGATACGATATGTTGAAGGAGATGTTGCTTATGCTTACAGGAAAAAGACCTTTCTTTTGCCCTCCGAGCGAAAGTGGCGCCTCCACACACACCTCACATATGATACACAAAAAGAAAATATGCCCTCCTACGGTATCATAAACTCCCCTCTGATGCACTTCACCGAAAACTTGCGACACGGTACCGGTACTTGTAACAATAATACCGGTAGGGCAGGAAGTTGTACCGTATTTCACACAGTGCTCGTACTTGTGCTGGTGCGGTACAGTGATCAAAGTCATTAGCGATAAAGTGCAGGTCTGATAGCAGAGCTGTACCGGCACCGTATCTGTCTATGGATTCGGCAGCTACGGTAGGATGCTTCACCTACGACACCATCGATATGGGGAAAAAGCGGGTTCACTTCCGAAGTATGGTATTCCACCGGTATAAATGCATGTTTGAGCAATGCAATGGGCCAAACCCCGAAGTTGTAGCTGTAGCGAGTATTTGGGTGTACTGTACAGTACCAGTATTGCTCGCTGTGTGAGCGTGAGGAACAAGCGCGCTGCTGTGTGTCACGCTGCTGTATCATATATACTGCACTCTGAAGCAGAGCTGTTGAAATTGGCCAACGGGGAAAAGGCCAAATTGGCTATCGCTACGGTACTCGTATTATACTCGTACCGTACTAGTACAGGGGCTGATGTAACGAGTAGCGACAACACGGGTGACGCGACATTTCTTTCTTTTTGACAAAATTTTTTCCTTCAACATCTCTCCTCTCATTGCTACGGTACTCCTGACCAAACTCGTCAACATTGTGTGTGCTTGGATCCTCGAGGCCACCCCTTCCCGAGCTGCCGTATGAGACTCTTGCATGAGTTAGTTCTTACCATCTAACAACGCAGAGTCCAAGATCCACCATCCAGTTTCTCACCAGGCCTCCATAACCTCCCTGGTCCGGGCCCGCCGACATCGATGAAAGACGGGAATCCATCCTCAGCCCCGCCGCCACCATCACCAGTAGTGAAGCCCGAGAGCGATGATGGGGCTGTTCCGCTGAGCCCCGGATCGGTCTCCAGATCTAGCTCACGAGATAGGTGGTCTGCGGAAAAAGTGGAAGCTATCAAGGAGGCTTGCCGAGCCGGCAATCGGAGAGCTGTCGTGGAGCTGGCAACATCCAGGGATGGCCTCATCAGTGATGGGATTCGTAGGGAAGCATGTGTGTATTTTGAGCTGCTGTTTCTTGAGTTCTAGTGTATGCTGATGCGTCCCACATAGGGCCCTTCCTGCTTGGATATGGGACTGCCTACCACGAGAAAGGCGCGCCTCCTACAGATATACCTGAAGCACGCCCATCTTGGAAAGCCCTTCCTCCACACAGGGATGAGGATCAAGTGAAGCTGGATGTGGACCGATCCTTCATCTATTACCCCACTAGTAGGTCGCCGACTTTATCTTCACAAATGACCCCAGCTTCAGCTAAACAGAACTGAATATATAAGCGTAGATTTGTCGCCACGGGAGCTCAAGACTAGGAAAATGGAGCTTTTAGATTTAATTGTTGAAGTATTGCGGCAACACCCGATGCTATGTTATTTCCAGGTTTGTGCTGGAAGCGTTCCTTCCCCTGCGGCCAATCGGTTATTGATTGCTCCTTTCAGGGGTTTCACGACATCTGTCAGGTCCTATTATTGGTCCTTGGCCCGACTCATGCTGTGGCCGCTGTTGAGCACATATCACTCTTGCGGATACGGGACTTTATGCTTCCAACAATGTCGCCAACTTCGGACCACCTCCAACTTCTCTACCCACTACTATATTCTATGGATCCAAAACTTTTTCATCATATATCTCGGACCCAGCCCTTCTTTGCCTTAGCCGCTACATTGACCTTATACGCTCATGAAATTCAAGAGTATAACAGCATAGCAAGATTATTTGACACATTTTTGGCTATGGATCCAGTATTTCCGCTTTACCTGTTTGCTGAGGTCTGTCACCTCATCTCTTTAATCGACAAACCCGTGTGAATTGTTCTGACGCAGATCATAGATCGTTCTGCGAAGAAGGGATGAGTTATTTGAGATCCCTAACGATGAACCTGAAATGCTTCACTCCATACTCTCAAAACTTCCAAAGCCACTAGATTTAGAAGATCTCATTTCTCGTGCAGTCAGTTTGCTCGAGCAGCAACCCCCAGAATCTTTGTCGACTTGGCATAAGGTATCTTCCCGAAGTGTTCTCAAGACTTCACGAAACCCGGATAAGAGTCCTTCAAGCTTGAGTCACGCCGAGAAGTTATTTAACCAGCAGTGGCGTGAACTTGAGCGGGCTCGCAAGAGAAGGGCCATTTTTAAAGCCATTGTAAAGAAAGGCAGAATCACTCTTCTTGGATTAACCCTTCTCGTTGGGATCTCGGCGATTGGACTCGGCTTTTACCTGCAGAAGAGCGGTACCGGTATCAATCGCATTTTGGGGTTTAGTGTTTCTCCATTACTCAGGCGGCTCTTGGCAAGCATCGGTATTGACGCCGGGGGTGTCATGTTTCCGTAAGAAATTCTTGCGGATCCTGAATATTTATTTTTATTATTTTTATTTTACTCTCCACGTCTCTGAGCAGTGCTCGCCACACTGGGTCTGTCACTGTGCCAGACGCCCGCTCTGGATTTTGGCCCACCTTGGATTGCGGAGCACGACTGCATTGCCCCATAACTAATATTTGCCGCAGATGGACGCGGGAGTAAGCGAGAATGCGCACGAAAGCTTTCCGAGGGCATATTTTTCCAATTACAACAAAAGCCTGTACCGTCTTTATAGGCGTTCTATTTTACCTTGCCACATAATATGCATGTATTATACCGACCCTTTGCTGACGGGGAAAGAACAAAAAGACTACCCTTCCGTTATATTACGATTTGAAAAGCAATTGGCTATGTCTATAATAATGAGCTGCCAGATCTGTCCAGAAAACTCTGTAGAAAACGATGCCGGTAAACTCTGTAATCCAAGCTCTTCAATTTTCCTCGCCGAGGCCGTGTTGCCTACCCGGCCGCATTGGACTATAACCAACATGGCCGGCCACCTTCGATCTACAGGTGTATCACTGGCATTTGGCCGATTGCATGAAGAATACGCACAGACAAAACTTATAATGAAGGACTGCTTGACAAGTGCATCTCAGAGGTGAGACAACAACAGCATTGATTCTGGGGGGACCCATTCTTCCAGTGGAGACCTTTAGCCTCGCAATCAGCTCGGGGGTGTAGGTGACTGGCCAAGTTATCGGTATTCATTGGCTTGCATTCGCCATAACCAGCAGCCGGTCAAACGGACGCCAAGGCAAGCCATGATCCCCTCGCGGGTGGACAAATTCAAGCATCCTGTGTGTACTCGAGTACTGTACCGCAGTCGTTTGTTGGCATGTATTGTGGCTCTGTCCATGGGGAAATAGGACCCGCTCCTTTGGAACCATTAAATGCATCTGAGATAGGAAGGGCCCGGCACTATGCGGTTGTGCGTTGTGCATGTACATGATTAGGGAAGTATATCCTACACAAGTGTAATTGAGGGAGTACTGACGCCTCTCGTCCACCATTACAAGTATCCTTTCAATAGGAGGCGTCCCTCGAGGTTCCATTTCGAATCAACAGGCCAAAATTATCAATTGTTGGGACTTTTCTGCTTACAGGAACATTTCTTTTGTTCCTGCCTGGAAGTCTCACTATGATACGGTAGTTCATGCTCCTAGCTTAAAGATCTAAATACTATCTGCTCGCATGTTATATGTTAATACAAATTATATTGTGACAGTTCTGAATATCTTAACCGCGATTACCATCGATCCAACAAAAAAACGAAATTTGACTTTTCTATGGCTTTGTAAACGACTAGTTGGCGATCATGCGATTCCTTTTTCTGACTTCGCATCCCCCCCAATAATGACATTACCGTTTCCACATTATTATTATTATTTATTTGTTTATTTTCCTTTCCTCCTCCCCTCCCGCTGCGAAGTCAATCCACCTGCCTGCCTTTCAGGCCCTCGTGTTAGCGTCACCATCTTCTTACGCTCAAGATGAGAAGCCTTCAAGACTACTCATCGGTAAATAGTCTTGAATCCAACTTACCGTAGAAACTGATGAAATTCGCTATTCCTAGACTAGTTGGGTCTCGTACGGTGCTTTCTCAATATTTGGCGCAAACGATGGACCTTTCTTGAGCAATATTCATTGATATAGGACAGCCTATAAAAAACTCTCCAAGGTCCAACACTATCTAACTAGATCGGAATTAACACCCGGGAATAGCTGATTTCACCGGTATCTATGGTATCAGGGATAAAATATTGGTATATACTTTACAACGCACACATTTTGGAAACCGGTCCAGGGAATTGAACAAGAATACTCACATTGTGAACCCCAGCCCGGGTTGGGTAAGAAGAAAAGACCCATTCACGAGTCATATCCAGCAAGGGTAGCCCAGTGACAACATGGAACTCTTCTATGATACGTATAAAAAGACGTCTGTCCCCAGCTGTCCTGGTGCTTGTTTGCACGATACCGATCTCGGCCTGTGAAGGAACTACCCCCGCTTGGCTGGATTAGGGTGAATCGTGGCAAAAGCCAGAGTGAACTTTCCCGGAGCACAGTGTGCAATACGGTCATTTAAATTAGAGGATCGAATGTCATCATATTTGATATCGACCCTATCAGATAACCTTCGGAATGTCCCCACAGCTAGGAATGCATTATGATGATCCCGCGGCGTATGATACCAACCGGGCTGGGTTCCTTGTGCCAAGGTGTGCATCCAAACCCCCCAGAATAGGGTTTTTCTCGCTATCACTTTGGAACGAGGGTGACAGATATTATATGACTGTTGATACTAGGTGAGAATTTTTCTCCATCGATACAGGCATCCATCAGAGACCCTGTAGTTGGAAGTATCAGAATGATATAGAATTACCCTGGCTAATCAAGTGAGACTTTAGGAGTCTAGCCAGCCTTTGTATTAATTCTCGACACACGAAGTTGATCGGGATCTGAATTTTCACCGGGGTCAGCACTGCACGCCTACAGCTGTGGCATCCCGCAGCCCACGTCCCTATCCCACATCCTTCACCCCACAGCTCTTTGCTGCCTCCCATGGGCATGAACAAGTCTTCCCACTGGTGATCTGTTGCAATACCACGATTGTTATCCTAGGACCTATACTCGACATACCTTTCGGGATCCCCCCCCCAAACGCCAGAATTATCCCCCGAAAGCCCGTCTCTGATGAAATACTATCAGGATACGAGCACGGGAGCTAACTTAAACCGTAACTGAAGCTTTGAACCTGGTGCGAGGCCTCTGCCAATCCTGTTTCGTACGGAGTTTCTCTTTTGTCATGGGTGCCTGGGGCAACAACTGGAGTAGTACGAGCACGAGTGCATTCCTGTGCCAACTGCCGGTACCAAGTATTATATCGCAAAGGAAATGACACACAAAACCGATCAATTGTAGGTTTCCAGTTTCTGTTAGCCACTTACAGAAGTGCGGTGCAGAATATATCGTTGTATCTTGTACCTCAGGACCACCCGAGCGGTTTTGTGGGGTGGGTCCTGTGGTGGCGATTAATCCAGCAGTGGAGCTGATTTTACTCGGGTATGTTAACTTATGGTATCACATCGGTATCTGCCGTGGCAACGCTTTCAACAAAAAGCGGCCACACCTTCTCTTCTCTTATCTAATCAGCCTATCCAGACACCCCTCTGCTACCAGCACCCCTCTGCACTCGTACCGGTACTTGCAGGACTCGTGCGGACAGCGCCAAACGGCCCTGAGAGACTTATGTTACACAATACAGGCAGCTATCCTGGAGAGAAGGGAAGCACGGCAAACAAACCATTTTGTGAGGACTGACTTCTGAAATCCCCTCACCTCTTTTTTCGCGGCTGCTAACCGCATCCCTAGGGTACACCCACAAACTCATTTTGAATTTTCATTCTCAAGAAGTGTGGGGGCATGAAAACCCTAAGATAATATCATTGATCAAGTATCCGGGCTGCTGATCTTCCCGCCATTTGAAACCACCGTGGAAGTTTGGTGCATTATCTTGACCAGGGCAGAGCTTCTTAGCACTCGCCGTACCAACCACGATAGCCCTTCCCCCCTTCGCTGCGGTTTTGCAAAAGGCCCGGGGAAATCTTATTTTTGGACGCCCCAGCGGCAAAAATGCTCTGCGGCGGGGTTGAAGCAGCTCTGCGGTCGCTCTAATTACGGTACGCTACCGTATTCGAGGGGTAGAATAGTAATCACTCGGCAGGGATTAAAAGGCAATCCTCCGGCAAGGACTTCCCCGCCAAGCATATCAATAACAATCCCAACTCCAGGTCACGATTCTCAGAAACCCTGCAGGGACCCGGCCGGGGCCCTGCCAAACACGCAGCGCGCATCGGAAGTTGCAGCATGGGGGCGGAGTTTGTTGTCAGTGTCCCCGGCGGAGAACTGAGCAACAGGAGCACAACTATCATACAGCAGCTGTGAACAGAAAGCGATGATCTCTGGTGATCTAGACATCTCCCTGCCTTACAGATTCATGGCTCTCTGTGTTCTCCGTAACTTACAGTCGGCTTAGCTGCCTGCGTGCGTCTTATCATTGTCCAATGGCCGAAAACCGTGACACGGGCTGTTTGAATGGTCACAAGACTTCATCCTTACTCCGCACTGCAAGCAGATGGGTGCTAACTATATTTTGGTTTTATTATACAGTACAGTAACAGATTTTCTACTTTTTTTTTTGTTTTTTTTTTTTTTTTTGCGAATTCCTGATACGGCCCTTGTTTTAAAAAGGCGGAGTAACGGTGGCAATTCGACATCATAATACTGACAAATGTTCTAAGACATTAACGTGGAACGCTTCGAGCCTCTTTCTTTCTTTTTTTCTTTTCTACCAACGCTGATGCTATCCTGCTCTTACCAGTATCGGCTGCAGTTCGTGAGCGTTGATCACGAGCAAGGATCAAGGGCTCACCTTTGAATTTTTTCCTCTCACAAATCCTTCAATAATTTCCCTCGTAATGCCTCACAGACCCAGCTCCAGAAGCCAAAAGCTTAATCTGATATTGGAGCTGAACCAGAAGACCCCCCAACATTCACTTGTCCGCTCAGTTAACCAGAGCAAGAATACTAATAAACCTCCACTCGTGAATAAGCCGTCTAAATCAGCGAGGGATGCATAATACTGGGGCCAAATCTTTGTATTACCGATATCGATTCGGTTCCTTCCGGGGAGAATAAGCGTACTCTGATCGGACACGTTGGCCCTACGGTTTTCCGGCTGCAATTTTTGACCTATCGAAATGCCAGGTAGCGTAGCCCACATAGACACCTTTGTCATTTGGGAGAATGAGCTTTGGTTTACCCCTCACAGGCCCGTTTGTCAGATCCCCCAAGAATGATTCGACATCCAATACGGATATGGTGGAACCGCACATGTTCAGAGTTGAACACTTGAACCACATGCTTACTTGCATGCTTACTCCCTTCACACATATCAGAGGCTCCAATCGGACCCGAATGGCTGTGATTCAGACGGAGAACAACGAATGGGTGCTCGTGCTTTATCTCAAGCTCCGAACCACAAGGGACAGTATCAGGTAATTGCATATCATGGCTGGACGTTACCTCACGAACCGAATCCTGGTTCGGCGTTACCGGACACTTGTCCATCAGGCCATACTTACTCTAGCTCAAACATATTAGAGAGGAATTTGATCATAGGATCATGCTGCGTGGCGGGGGTTGGTCCAATTGGTTTTTCCAAGAGAGCAACCCCGGTTGGCAGTTTGGATTGCGCAACTCGGAATTGACTTTTTGGTTCTGATGCATAGCCCTTCGTGTAGCTGATTTACCGGGCCTAATTGTGCATAAAACTCACTCGCTCAAAAGGTCAAGAGCGATTTACCGAGACATCTCGGGGGGGGGTTTTTTTTTTTTTTTCGTTTTTCCTCAGTTGTGTGGCGTATCCTGCTCTCTAGCCATGGTTGGTCTAATACATTGGCAAGAATGAAACTATCTAGCAGCAGATATTCAAAGACCACTATAGCCATCCGGGGATACCCGTTATTGTGAGGGTAGAGGTTAGGTTTTGCCAGAGGATCTCCGGCCAAATTCCACAGAGAATGTAAGCGCTAAAAGACCACAACGATGCCTTTTCCTTCCCATCGTTTGACCCTACTGACTAGCTGGTGCTCTAGGACACTCCACCGCGGAAACAAACTCTTCCCTTGCTAGATTCCTTACTCCAGCCCTTTCTACAGACGTTAGATTTCAGTCACGAAATATCACTCATGGCCCTACTAGCCAGGAAGGATCAACCTAGCTGACTCTTGAGCTCTCCTGTCCTTGGACGAGGTTTGTGGAGTCGAATGGGACCTTTGTGCGCTTATATTAATCCATATCATGATACGAAAGCGACCTAGCTTACAGCTACCGGTATTGTCGCCCTATTGATACGAGAGAGGGTCCTTGAATTTCGTCACACTGGGCCCTCATTTCCAACGATTATGAAGGTTATCAAATGCCTCAAGATATCTACCCCGTTCCTAGAGAATTCCGAGTGCATCCTTATAAACAGAATACATCCATATCCAGCGATGTTCAAGGCCTCTTCGTCGTGATTAAAGGCACAAATCCAACGAGGAAAGCCCGACCCAATCCGTATTCTGACGAGGGGGTTACAAATGGTACACTCTCACCATTGCAAGCATGTTATGCGACCGGCCCTGCTTCATGTGTACTGACCTTGGTACGATATCTGGAAAGATGGAGCGCCGGCTTCCCACTCCCGCCGACAGGGAATCCTGTGTCCGGGAATATTTCCATGCAATATTTGCAGAAGTGTAAGTTGGCACGGCCAGCTCTTCAGATTCACGTCAATACAGGGCAGCTTACCGTGTCCATATAGTTGGCGCTCTTGGCCGCCTTCGCTACATATCAAACCGGTTGCTGAAGCTGACCTGTTTGGGCGCTTCTCTCCGCTCAAGGGCCGATGGTCGTGGAACCTAATTCTCCACGTTCTAGTGGAGGGCACGGGCAATAATCGAAGCAACCGGTAGGAGGTTAGAATTCGGAAAGCTCCATTTACCAATATGATATTTCAGGGCCCCCCCTAGCCATTTTGGGGATTTCGACCCTTGGGAACCATAAAACGTGGGCTGCTCGTGGCAGCTGGGGTAACCCCAAGTTTCCATAATCCAGCATTTCCAGGGTCCGAGAAGATGCTGAAGGAAGGCATTGGCACCCGTGGTTAAGGATCTACTTCCCCAATTTCTTTTTATCCCAATTACTGATAGTGGTGCTGGTGTTTTTGCAACACCCGTATTCCCCTACACTGCCCGGGGGGTGAAGATTTACTAAGTACTGGTTAAATCAATATCGGTATTTGGGGAACGTCCGTTTTGGCCTTGCCCATCATTGTAGCTCGATCACCAGCACCGGGACCAAAATGAAGGTGGTGGGTAATAGCCAGGCGCACCATAGGCGATCGGTAAGCCCTGACGTGGGGAGCATGAGCTGTTGGAGCCTCATTCGGAATATTAATTGAGCCGATCAGCAGTTAGATTAGACGCCCAGCCCGGGTATACCGGTAGCGTACTAATCAGCATTGGCTCTGGGCTGCTGCAGAAAGCGTTGTTTTCCGCCGTAACTTGGCATGCGGGGTCAGTTTCATAATTGCCCACTCGGAGGCAGGTCATTAGTTATGATATGATCAAATCATACTTGTAGCTACTGTGCCAAAGGAATACCTGTATCATACCTTCCTTAACTCTGGATTTACGCCGACACTCCAACCCTGGCCCTGAGCCACCAGTTCTCACTCAAAGGACCCCGGATGGTCATTGTCTCTCACCAACACCCACCAACTAATACTACATCATACAGTATCATAGTGATATCATGTGGAATATGGGTGGTACCACGGCCTTAATATAGCAGTTTGCTTCGCTAAACAACCGTGAGATGAACACATAAGGGACAAAACAAAAATAGATAGAGAGTGACGGAACATGTGCCATTGCGGCTGAAAACCATATCCGCCCAGAACTGCTTTTCACACAGGACGGCTTAGCTATGTGGAGAGCTTGTAGCCTTATACTGGTCTGACGGTGAGCGGTCAATCCCCGATGGAGAGTATCAATCGCGTCGAGGGTCTCACGCTTACTCCTCACACATCCCCTCAATGCTGCATGTCATAAAGATATTTTGCTTCACTAATCCTGCAGACGCAACAACACAAGACACCCCAAACCACTGGGCCCGCGCGGAACAAATGAGACCAAAGTCATCAGCCAATAATCCATCTTCATAGCCGCATCCCATTTCCCCCACCGGTACCGAGTAAAATTGGGTGGAAAAAAAAGTCCCCCCTCGAAAGCGCTCGACTCCTGTCTCTCAGGGCCCTGGACATCAACCCATACGGGGAGGGCCGTTAAAGCCGACAGCTAGAAGACGGTCCTGATGTGGGAGATCAGCAATAGCCAGGGTAGATCATAATCGTGCCGAGATATGCACCCCCCTCATAGTTCCGAAATGCCCCAATCACAACTCTAGAATATGATACTCTCCCGTCCGCCGACGTCTCTGTTACCGGTACTCTCGAAAGCAACCGGGCACCGAGAATGCTGGCCCCAAGAGCAAAAAAAAAAAAGAAAGCACAGTATATACCGAAAAAAACAAAAACAAATCGATACAGTGCTAGTACGGTACAGTACCGTACGAGTACATCTAAAATGTCTCAACCCCTGCGGCTCAAAAATAAGCTTTTTCACACACACACAGCGAACAACCCTAACCCTAATCGGCTTATCTCACCGATTAGCGGGGTTATGGCACGATATTGGCTTTGGATATAGTGGTCCTCCGGCGGGAATCAATGAGGGATGTGGGGGCGGGGGGGTCATCGGTGAAAAGCGGCCCTGGGTCATAGACCAGCAAATGGTCCCCCCACCTTCTGGGGAAATTCGCGAGGATGTAATCATGTTATCAGGTCGACTGACGAGGAAAAGGGAAGAATAGGGTGGAAAGAAAAGAAAAGAAAAGAAAAAAAAAGAAAGGAACACATGATCAGATGTCTTATCGTCTCATGTGTTCACGGACAAGATACAACGGAAGGATCAAAAAAAATCAAAAAAACATCACAGCGTTGATACCGAGAAATAGATGCGAAGGATGCATCCGATAAGTTACGATATGACACTCATAGAGAAAAGAGGGCCTGGAGAGAGGGGGGAGAGGAGAGGGGGGATATAGCACAGGTAAAGAAAACGCCTAATCTTGTCGTTCTCCTATCTACCCTTCTTTTTTTCTCCACAAATCGCCAAGATCCGCCTGCTTCGCTACTGTGCGTATGATATACAAGTACAGTAGTATATCATTAGATGAAGTACAGTACAGTACTATACAATTACTGTACTAACACAGCATGAGATCCGTCCTGGTTTAGCTGTTTGTTTCGGGCATCAACGGATACGCATGCGGCACCTCTTCTCTCTCTCTCT